GCGCTTTGGGAATGAGCACACGCATGCACTCATTCCCAAAGCGCACATGTTTTATACTTGATGCAGTGACGCACATTGGGGCAGGACTGCTGCCTCGTTACCTGATCCCCCCCTCCTTGTCACTTGGGCAGCCCAGCCAGATTTCTGTTTTCCCTGCAGCAGGCAAGTGCACGGCCGTGGCAGCAGTGGCCGCACAACCGCCGTGAGCGATGCAGGCAGTGCCGCATAGCATTGACGCATGTTTCGATCTGCGGGATTGGAATTCAAATATGGAAACGAGGTGCTGAGCCGACTGGTGAACAGCGGCAGGCTGGAGGGAGTCAGGATGGCAGATGCTGTCCGAACAGCTGCGACCTCCGTTACAACGGAGGTGTTGATATCAGGCTTGTTATTTACGGCGCAAACACTCTAGCATTTACGTAATAGTGTTTACGCGTAAAGAATGGCTTCGCGTTCTCACGCGTAAATAGGCGTAACAATGGGCCCTGTGTACTCAAATACATAACATACAGACACGCAGAATCCGAGAAGTGGCAACTAGACGCACTGAAATGTGAAGAAAACGGCATTTTGTTCAACGACGCTGTTGCCCTTGCCGAGGGCGAGCTGGACGCTAGCGTCAGCGCTGTGCTGCCGGAGCTGGGGGTTGGGCGGGGGGGGCAGGACTGAGGACTGATCGTTGTTTGGGACGTCATAATGTAGCCCGGGTGTTTTGGCGAGCTGTAGAACTGCTCAACTATGGCCACAAATATAGACGTTTCTATATTAATTAAAGTTTTTACGCCTAAAGACGTAGACGGGAAAATGCTGCCATAAACGTAAATAACAAGCCTAGTCGATACAATTGTATACACAGTTGGTTTCAATACATCGACGCCAATGTATCAAGGTGTGAGTCCAATTGCATCCCACTCTCGGTTACCGATACAATTGCATCGACAACAGAAACTACCAAAATTGGGCAATAGCTCGGACCAGCCACTTCTGAGTGTTCCTTCGCAATTTCAGATCAGATGGTGGGGCGATTGGCGGTCCATCACCCTCGCCGGGCTGCCTGGACCCTCGTGAAAATACAGACTCTGGCAGATGTGCCGCCCTTCAAGCTTCACAAACTCGGTGGCGGCGCGATGCCACGAGCAGCGGCCAACGGGTGCCCCTTCATTCATGCAGGAAATTAAATTAAATTACATTTAAATGTAATACAACAAGCCGTGGTTCGTTCACCAATGAGTGCCCACAAGACACACACGGCGCTGGTTAAGCGGCCCAGTGCATTTCTTCTCGGGTGGCAACTATTGCTCAATATTGCACCCGAGGTGTGTTGTTTTCATTGGGTTGGGGCCTCGCGGACATTGGAGCAGATTTCCCAATCGGCTGGCAGCTTTGTTCGTGAAAATGCCAACAGTGCAGCGCCTAAATCCCTGTCAGAGTTGTGCATCTTTGTGCATTTCCCCATGGCTGACACCATCAATGGACCACTATCGGCATCCAGCACGATTTGAGCAAGGAATGAAATTGTGTGGACTGGCCGAATTCATCCCACTGCACAGATGCGAATCGCTTTCACTGGTAGAAAACGCCATGTTTGGGACGCCAACTGCGATGCCATTTTGACACAAATTGATGCTGTCACAGTGTTTGCGATGGCATGAAAGGGGCTATGATGGCATCAATCTCTGTCAAATTCCAACGCAGTTGGCATCGCAAACAGGCTGTTTTCTGTTGGTGTTTGGGCGAATATATCTAAAGCTTGCAGGCATCTCTAACTTGAAGTTAGTTCACGTGCCTTTCCAAGACAAAAAAGGGACCGTGCACGGGCATCCAACCCACGATGTCGTGACATGGCAGTACATGTGCACCTGCTTCCGGCTACAGACACCTGTGAATGGGATCAATGCCAGACATCGCAAATCTGGCGAAGGGGTTTCTCTTTGTCACGGGGCAAATACAATGAAATGAAGGTCGATTTTGCGCCCAGCAGCTATCACGAGCGATTTGGCGACACCTGGCTGCTCAGGAGTAGTAACTTCGAACGGAGATGGAATTGTGCCGAGTTCAAGTTATCTCGCAACGCAGCCACCCAAGACACGAATGCCGCACCCAATTCTTGGCTGATCACCAACAGCCTTGGGGCCTTGGCGCAGGTGGCGATCGTATTCAGCACAACTTGCATGCAGACTCATGGCAAACACTGCCACTCTGACTTCTGGCTTGCAAGCAGTTTTCACTTGCTTTCGTGGGGGAGCTATTTGTGAATCGGAGGCAGCTGTGACCGCCATTGGCTGGGCACATTTAGAAGCATAGGTGGGCCTGGACGTGCTCCTCGCACACTGGATTCGTCCACCGCATTTGTCGACGCCGTGGCGTCATGTGGGTGCATCCGTGCATGCAAGAAACAAACAAACAATGCAAACCAAAGCAAACACGTGGCAAACATCACCATTGTGGGCCACCTTGTGGTCACCTTGTGGTCACCTTGTGGTCACCTTGTGGTCACCTTGTGGTCACCTTGTGGTCACCTTGTGGTCACCTTGTGGTCACCTCGTGGTCACCTCGTGGTCACCTCGTGGTCACCTCGTGGTCACCTCGTGGTCACCTCGTGGTCACCTCGTGGTCACCTCGTGGTCACCTTGGTCACCTTGTGGTCACCTTGTGGTCACCTTGTGGTCACCTTGTGGTCACCTTGTGGTCACCTTGTGGTCACCTTGTGGTGATCAGCTTGTGGTCACCTTGTGGGCGTCAGGGACACGTTCTGCCGCTTTGAGGCGAGCCAGATCAAAGGATTTACAGCAACAACCTCGACGACCAGCCCCTCAGTAATTGCTGCGTATTAATATGCACCAATTGGATGTGTTGGCAGCACATCTCGCTCTCTCAATCGTTGGCCCCTCCTCTCCCCCAGGTCCAGGACGCGCACACAAAACACCCATCTCTGCTGCTCGCAGAGCACTGGGCCCATCCTTCCCCTCTGCTGAATCCCTCCCCCCCTTCCCAAAATACGTTCCAAAACCACAGCCTATGCCCGTCACCGGTGAACACTGAAATTTGACACACTTTTGTGCAACAGAATGAGATAGAATTTTAAAGAAATTTTCGCAATATTTTAGAATTGAAAAAAAATAGCTCCACCCGTCACCGGGTCGCGGCTATCTCCCCCTCCTCGTCCGACAGGTCGCAGTCCACAGCCAGGGGAAACGATTCGATACGCTTCCCCGACTCCGATACGGATTCCGATTTCGCCGCGCCGCCCAACACCCCCTCCAGCGTCTCCCCGCCCCCCAGCCTCAGCGCCACGGCGTCCAGGTCCTCGGCCACGCGGCGGATGGCCCGCACGGACACGCCCCTCAGGAAGCCCCCACAGAACGGCGGGATGAAAGCCGGCAGCACATCCTGTTCGAGTTCCACAATCGACGCCCTTCCCCGCCCCCCCTCCGCCTCACACACCCTCCACACCCCCTGGAACACCTTCATCGGCCCCTTCTTGGCCAGCCGGAACTTGATCGTCAAATTCCCCTCGTCCGTCTCCATCACCAGCCGGGTGGCGAAGGAAATCGGGAAGGACAGAAACTTGAATCCCGTGCACTGCTCCATCTCGACCACCCGCTTCCCATGCCCGTCGTCGGTCAGCACCTTGTGGCGCGGCACCGAGTAGATGTCCCGGAACGCGGGCGAGTTGTCCGGCGCGGTCATGAGGCGGAAGACGTCGATCGGCGCCATCTCCACGCGCGCGTGCAGCGTGATCCGGCACAGCACGCCCTTGCCGGCGGACGTCTCAATCCTCCGGCCGCTGGACGGGTCGCACCAGCGCCCCGAGGAGGCGGAGCTCAGCTCGGCCTTGTCGGCATCTCCAACTCGCAGCCCTTCACCGGGCATCCCGGGGAGCCCGTGACTCACAGCTAAGGGCTGGATCGGGGCGCGGGGGGCGAAAATCTCCTTTGACTGACTCGGTTGGCCTTCCGAGTGCCCTTCGACTAGTTGTTAGGCCGGCGCTGTGTCCGGGGTCGCTGCAACCGCCACCCGGCGTCCCGTGGCCGTTTCTGCGCTCTTGTGGGGGCCAATGGCCGGGAGGCGCGGTGTGTGCGCCAAAGAGGCCAGGAGGCCGGGGGGATGAGTCAGCCGGCTCACGTCAACCTGGGGGTAACCGTGCGGAGGGATTGGAGTGGTTGGGGCAGCGCGAGTGCGTGGGACTCCTTGACGCGGGACGGGCACTAGCCAGCTGTCCGCAGGGCTGCGCTTGGCTTTGCTTGAGCTGCTGTGGTTTGACTGAGGCGACGCTCGCTGCGCTCGTGAAGAGTCCTGGTCTCGTTTAGTCACAGCGATACTGCCATTTCGGTGGTAAATCTTACCATGAAACTTGGGTACGGTCGTCATATACGGTTGGGTACGGTCATATGCAGTCGACGAATTGTATGCCAGAAGCACTGCGCATCAAGGCAAGGACGTGGCGAATGGGTCCCTATTTTTGCCCTGGAAGAATAGTGTCCACGACTTGTTCATTGAAAGCCAAGGCCTTGCGCCAATGATGCGCATAAAATGATGACCCAGACTTTTACAGCCTGTATGCACGAAACAGCAAACATGAGGCATTAGGGATGCTATAACGGCAGCAAGAAAGGCTGCAACGTAACTGGCGGAACGTCACCTCACATACGAGGTATTTTGCTGGCGCAAAGTGACATTTTCTTGCTTTGTTCTAGCAAAGCGTCGCACTGAGGCAGAGGGCCTTTCTGCAACGTGGAGAGCTTACAAGTCTTTATTAACACTGATTAGTGTCTATATTACCATGGTCAGCGATCCAGTACATTTCAACGCGCCATAAACACTAACCAACACTTCTGAAAATGCTTGAAGTATAGCCCGGCATATCCCATCATCTTGAGCCAGCCGCTCAGAGCACTGTGCATCGATCCTCGATGCCCCTTTCAACTCTGACCGCCAAACAGCTCAACCACTCCCACAGAACTTAATGCCTTGAATAGACCTTGCCATCTTATTGCGCGTACTGCATGGGCAACGCTCGGGGCAGGAATGCCCGAATCCACCGTCGACGCTCGAGCTTGATGTCCGCATCGCCCATCCGAGGTCATTGTCCGAGACTCCGCACATCTCACAAGAAAAATCGGCCACAACACACTGTTTCTAACCGCGTCGAAGTAGTGCAGAACTGTGTAAAACTGCTGCACAGTTTTCCAATCATTACTACACGTTTCGTGCCATTTTTATAACATAAATATACGATAAAGACACGACTTAACACGATTCCTACACCACTTCCAATCAATTTACGCGAATTACACGGTACACGATTTTCAGAACCGTGCAGTTTATCCTGTTTTAACTAGTATATTAGGACAAGACGTAAAGGACATAGGGAAGGGCATATATTATGCACAGCTTCCCGCATGAGCCCCAGGGACCACTTGCTACGATTAACAATGTTCCCCACATCGCTCTCCGCACGTATAATAGCAACGACTGGCAGAAACGATCACATTTGATACGCTCAGCATCCTCGCCGGACGGACCCATGCACCATCACTCATTGCCGGAAGGATCTTTTGCGCACAGCCTTAAGGCCAACGTTGCAAAGCCGAAGGCGCTCCAATAGTCCAGGTTTTCGAATTACTAATAATTGACCACTAAGCCGGCTCCGTCAATTACTGATTCATAATCCGATGATTGAAATTAAATGATGACATTTGAGAATCTCATCTCAGGGTGCATCAACATTACAATTGAGTGGTTGTCACTGTTTCTTGATTGTTTCACTTGCGACTTTCCAGTTCACATGATTGGAGGTTGGTGCCTGAGCACCGGTGGGCAGTGAAACTCAATGAGGAAAGTGAAAAGGGAATTGGAGGCCAGATTAAAGAGAAGAAAGTCTGATACACCAAGACAGATGCCGCTCTCATGTTGTGCAAGCAGCTGATCATGTGCTGGCTGACCGGTGCACATATTGAACGTATTGAGAGGGCGGGGGGACGGCTGGCCAATAATCAGCTTCATTTTTACTAATTTTGGTGCTCGTGAGTTGGCGCTGTGAATTGGAGCTGCGGATCGCTGCTGTGGGTAGATGCTGCGGGTCGCTGCTGTGGGATAGCGCGTTGTGCATGTGTGAAGTGTGAATTCAGTCCGCCGTTCTGAGTGTGAGTTTGGTGGGCGAAGAAAAGAGGCATACTCTGGTATTTAAAGAGAGCCCGAGCCTCGTTGGGAGCTTCTCTTGGCTTTATTGGAAGTCAAGATGAGTCTTGGCTGCTTGCCCGACCATGCACGGAGTGTGCGTTTGAGCACCGCGTGCATCAAGGTTGCCACAAGGTCGAAACAAAGGTTTGACTTGTGCTGTGTTATGGCCCATCGTTGCGCGCATTCGATTGCGGCGATTGCGACGAGCGGATCTCGAACCGGGACGGCCGGCCGTCCTTGCCGCCAAGGAACTTGACACCAGGCCCTTCATCTCGCATGGATCGCGTTTCTTCATGGGCACGCAACGCTGTCACTGGTAGAAAACGCCATGTCTGGGATGCCAACTGCGATGCTATTTTGACACGAAATGATGCCGTCACGGCGATCGCGATGGGATAAAAGTGGCTGCGATGGCATCAATTTGTGTCAAATAGCGTCGCAATTGGTATCGCAAACAGGCTGTTTTCTGCTGGTGTGTGTTTATTGAGCATGGAGTGTGTAGTGTCAAAGCCACTTGACGGAATTCACACCGATGCAAGGTTCGAAACAACCGCTATCACAAAGCAACCGCACTGCGCACAGTACAAAGGCCGTGCAATTTTCGCTGGGCCCATTTGGCGTTGTCTGCAGGCAATTTTCGCCTTTCTGCTTTTGAACTTTGTTGTTGTGCGGCATCTGAATTCGGACAAATTCACAGTCGGACGATATGATGATCCGAACAGTTGTCCAGTCGCAGTACGACATGCATGTTGGCCATGTGCACAACATGCATGTCGACCGATGCCATATGGAATAGGTGCTGTCACATCAGCCCAGCTGAGCCGTGATATTCCAGGGCGAGATGGTCCTACATATCCCAGCTCAATTTGCAGCCTGTTTCTGAACTTCCGCCCTACAATCCTCCTGTCGTGTACTCGAACTCCCTACAGCAGGCAAAGCAATCTACAGTAGGTTTCCCGCGACAACTACCACGAGTAAAAATAAGCCAAAATGCACGGTTTCGAACGGTGCACAAATCGTGTAAAACTATGTCAAAACGTGTGAAAATCATGTGCACTCACTCAATCGTTGCTACACGGGTTGGTCCCATTTTTATACTTTAAGTACACGATTTAACACTATTTTTACGCGATGTTCAATCAATTGCACGATTTACGCGGTGCACGATTGCAACACATTGTATTTTGGCCAGTTTTTACTGGTGCACTGAGCCTGTTTGTGCTGTGGCGGCTCAGCTAACAGCACTGCTATGTGGTCTGCTGTGCTTCCACTGCGAAGACGCGTCGACACTGCTAAGGGACACAACGGCCCCTTTCCTGACAACTGCACAGTGCATGGTGTACATTGTGCTTGATTGAGCAAACCACACCGGCCCCTACGTAGGGGATGCCGAGCTGCACTGCTGCGCCGCTTTCCCCAAGCGCCCCACCAGACGCCTCACGCCACGGCCCCGGCCATTACGACGCTCCCGGGCCGTGGGGCACAGCACCCAGGCGCAAACGACTCACGCTTCTCCAAAATTCTTCAGCAGCAATTCGAATCGACGCCGTTGTCGTCGCCATTTTAAAGGCCCGCGAGCATGGAGATGACGTCACCTGACTCCATGACGCCATTGGCGGGCCGCACGACAAAACGGCGCGCCTGGCCCTTGCCTGTGCCCGCAGGCGCCCCCGGCAGCGCCAGAGCCCTTAGACAGCCCTCCGCCCTCCCCCCGGCGCGCCGCTCCGCCGCCCCAGGCGCCGCTTCGCGGCGCGTGCGGGCGGTCCTGGCCCCGGGGCGCATCGCGCCCGGGTGGATTTTTGATTTCCGGTCCCGTGATGATCCCTGGGCTGCTGGCCAGGTCGCTGCAGCGGCCCCTGTGCCAATGGGGCCAGGCGGCCGCCGCCGGCCCCCAGCTGGCCAGATGGCTCTCCGCGTCGCAGGCCGGGACCCCCTACTCCGAGATCAATTTAGGTGGGGGGGGAATTACCGCCAGATCTGGGCCTTGACTTCTGGCTGACCGTGCCCGGTCAGTGTGGCGGTGTGGGCCTCGACCTGGGCGCGCCGGGCGGCGATGGGCGGGATCTGTAGCCTCGCGGTGGCAGCCACTCGTGATCTGGGCAAACTCGAGCAGACGGCGCCCTTTTCCTCGCGGAAAGGCGCCGATCCGCTCCTTTTGCGAGGCATGCGCGTCCAAGGCCGCGTTCCCGCGACGCTGCCGTCGGTGATCAATCTACGCAGTCCCTGTTCCTGATGCGCCGGTGAGCTGCGCGAGAATTTGCTCATCATTGGATGCCGAGGCGCTGGGGCGCGGGGGTGCGGTGTGAAGCGGCGGGCTCTGTGTCGCTCCAGGCGTGCCTAAGGAGACGTTCGACGGCGAGAGGCGCGTCGCGCTGTCCCCCGCGGGCGTGGGTGCCCTCACCAAGGTCGGCTTCCGCGTGGCCGTGGAGGCGGGAGCCGGAGAGGGGGCGAAATTTTCGGTACGTGGCACGTGCGTGACATCGGCCGGAGCGCGTTAATCGATGTACTAACGCCGAGCGCCTTCAGAGGGGCCGCTTGTTTGCGCCTAGCGTGGCTTGGGAATGGCATGAGAAGGGGAAGGGAGGGTGTATTTGGCCGATCGGTTGTGCCTGCGCGCGCGAATGGTGCCCGCGGTGTGCGTGGGGGCCGTCGTGGTTGCCAATCAGATTGGACAGAGGTCGACGACAAAAATTGCAATGCGTGCTTTTCCCTTCCAAAATGTTTGCGAAATGTCCACAGACTGCGGAATGTCTACAGACTGCGGTCCAGGACCTGCTTGAGGTCAGAACGCGGATGGTCGAGCTGTGTTTGGGTCCATTTCCACTGATGAGTGGCAGCCAAGTCTGTATAGTTTAACGTTTGGCTCCTTGAGCCCCCTTGGCCTCTGGAATCTGATCTTGCACACTCGTGGGACTCAGGACGAGGAATACAAGAATGCTGGGGCAAAGATTGTGGGCACCAAGGAGGCGTTCAGCGGTGACATAGTGCTGAAGCTCCGGCCGCCACACCTGAAGGACGAGGTGCCGTTGTTGCCGAATGGAGCCAAGTAAGGATGGGCACGCTGTCCAGATCAGATCAGACGAGCAGATCCGGCTGCAGGCCCCAATCCCTTTCACACCCGTGTTGTTGACATAGCCATCAACAGCTGACATGCTGACATGCACTCCTTGGTCCAGGGGACATTCATGGAGTTCTATCCACCCTTGTTGTTGACATGCAGTGTTGCTGTGAACCATGTCAGAGGCAAAAAGATGGGATCGGGCTGGCTATGTTCACTGTAGACTGGATGCTGGGAAAGAAAATGCTAGTGAAGATAGCAGCTTCAACATAGCATGATTTCAGGTTTTGTTCGGAAAAGTATGTTGCTGCACATTGTTTACAGTTGTGCTGTGTGATCTGCATGTGTGTGCTTGTCTCTGGGGTGCTTGTCTGTTGTGTCATCCAACAAGCTTGCATCAATATGCTGGCACTAAGTTGTGCATCAACTTGATGTCTGAAGTTCACCGACCAGGTACCAACTACATCCAAATGGTGCTGGCCTTTTAACGCCAAAATTTTGCTCCACATCTTGTGGCTCACTCCATTGATCCATGATATGGACAACATATTCTTGAACAGCCACATCGATTCAAAATGTGCCTAAGATCGCAAGAGAGGTGGAGTGGCTGCGATAAGATGATTACAAGAATGGATGAAGGACAGAAAATGTATTGAATGTGTGCATGCCTGTCATCGCTTGCAAGGTGCAAGGACTGTTTCTTTTTCGGTTGAAGTGGACAAGGACTTTCAACAAACATTTTGTGGGTGTGCCGCAGCTGCCATCACCTGACAGATGCAAGTGCAGGATTTGTCTCGCTTGACTCAATATTCATCAATGCCAATGTAGGTGGCAGTTTCACTGATGTCACACTTGTGCTGGTGAACAGGTTGATAAGTTACATTCAACCAGGAATCAACACAGAACTGGTGAAAGAGCTGCAGGAGAAGAAGGCGACGGTCATTGGTAAGCAACCACGGCCGCTGGTCCCCTGTCTGTTACTGTTCTGCAGCTGCAAAGGAAGTGTTCAATCCTCTCCTGCAAGTGTGGGCGAAACATCATTGATAACACAGTCCAGACAATACGAAAATAGCTGAGCAACTGGAAAGAAGGCTGCTCCAAATATGACTGTTCAGTTGGCAGTCACTGCTTATTGGCGCTATATCGATGCTTTGAGAGGTAAGGAAACGGTGTCCATGTGCAAGATAAATACAAAACAAAAAAGTGATGCTGAAACAAGTGAAAGAACAACAAAGACATGACTGAATGAAAACAAGCTTATGCAAAGGAAGGAAGAGATTATAAACACTCAGCTCAAAACTGGCCCAGCATTGCTCAGCTGTGTCCACATTGCAGGCAGTTCACACATCGTTGTTTGGAATTCTCAAATTGCGCCAGCGCATCTGTTTTTCCTTTCAAAGTGCTGAGCTTGGCGGCACTATGCGCTCAGGTTTAAGGTGCAAATTTCGGTGGTTACTGACTGGTTTGCAGCACTTTCAGCACAGAGCTCACAGTTTCGGCAACGTTAGGTTTGGTTTGAGCTGAGGCAACATCGTAGGGGTGTATACGGTTGGCCAATACCTTCTCGAGTGCATGCTGCTCTGCGACTTTCCCTTGCAAAAGCTGAATGTCAGTCAAGATAACCTGCTGTGCATGCCATGGCCATTGACAAGCCATGTTGGGAGCTACGTGGGTTTCTGCTGAGTGAAATCTGCCCCCTTCAATCATCCCATACAACTGCCGCAAATGACCACCAGAAGGCTTGCACTGACAACTCTTTTTGTGTGCGGCAGCTATGGACTGCATTCCCAGGACCTTGAGGTGAGCATGACTGCTATCCGATAAGCACTGCTAGTTGAACCCATCTCGTGTCAATCCAAGGATTGGGTGTGGTCTGCTGGATCTATGTTTCAAAGGTGGGTGGAGGGTAAGGGGGTTTGAAGTAAGGGGTTTGGTCGTGGATTATGAAGTTTTTTAATATATACGGCAGTGCACAGATAATATCATTTTGTCACATGGTACATTTTGTATGTTTTTTGTAAGTATCAATGAAATTGTCTTGATGCACAGACATTTGACATGGCCATTGGGTTCCACAGTGCTGTTTGTTGTGCATTCATTATCAGATGCTTTAATTGGTTCTTGGTTCCTTCACAAAGGGGAGCAAGCAGATGAAAGGGAGCAAATGTCTTGGTGGCATCATGTTCAGAGTTGGATTGTGTGGCCTGTGAGGGTTGGCTAGCTGCCATCACTGCGATGAATGGTTGGTTCAAAGGGCAACTCTTTGATGGTGTCTGTTGGTTTGCTGCAGCCGGGCTCAGACCTTCGATTCTTTGAGCTCGATGGCCAACATTGCAGGATACAGGTAAGGGAATAGCGCATTTCGGAGAATTCATGGATGTACCATACATGCACAACTGATGCAACCTGAGGGGCTGGGGATGCCATTCATTGAGCTGTTTGCTTTGATGTGCAGATGGGCAATGGCTGCGATGCACGTTTTGCGTTAACAAAACTATGGTTTCTGTGCCCAATTCCTCTAGTTAACGCCAGAACCAAATAATTGATGATCATGAAAACATTCACTCCTGAATGCCAATGCGCTGACAACACACATGCCCTATAGTTTTCAATTGACCTGATATATGTAGCACATACAGGTGTCCATGCCAGGGGTTGGCTGCCGCAGCGAGTTTGTGCAAGTTCCATTATTGCAGTCCCCTTCTGTGGCCATGCTGCACCATCTGGTGCTCTGTCAGCATTTGCCCATTGCATCTTTAGCAATTCATGCAAGGTTCGTTTTTATGTGCATATTATGCTTCTGCATGCAAGTGCTCTGTGCAATCACACACGATATGTGTTGTATCCTGCTGTTGATATGTGTTGATATATTGTTGAACGTGCTGTATTACGCTATAACAGTATGATAGATGCATTTTACCATTTGTCCAGCATGTCGAAACTCTCCTCACTATTTGGCATGTCCAAAGGGCTGTAATTGAGGCTGCCAACCACTTCGGGCGGTTCTTCACGGGTCAGATAACAGCGGCTGGACGCGTACCCCCTGCCAAGGTTTTGGTGATCGGTGGGGGCGTTGCTGGGCTCTCGGCTATAGGGACAGCAAAGAACATGGGAGCGATCGTCCGGGTGTTTGATACGAGGGCGGCTGTTGCAGAGCAGGTGAGGAATTCATATGCACCAGGTTGCTTGTGAATGTTGGGGGCACGTTTGGTGCAAATGAAACTGAATACTTGGCATTCAGCGTGAGAAGGGACGTGGCCTCTTCACATCAGTCTAAAGCCGATGCAGGGTCATGCAACAGCTCAAGTCTTATTTTTGCCCTCTTGTTCATCCTGTCCCTGTTCCCGATATGTTTGTAAATGCACTATTCATGGGTGAGCAATCATTATATTGGGTACTGGGGTGAGTGAAAAAAACATGTGGCAATTACTTAGACATGTTTGCTGATCTATTTGGAACACAAGGAATGGCCACTCAGTGGAAGAACGCCAAACTGCTGTGGAATTGCTCCCCTTGGTTGCTTTGGAGCCATCTTTTCATGGCTTACCATTGCAGCAATGGCTTTCAAAGAAGATTTCCACTGCTATCTGGCAATTAAGCCTGGAAAGAGCAGCTGTGTTTGGTGGCCATAACCTGGCTACGCTTCAGAGAATGGCATACCTTGGCAGGGATCAACATCTTGATATTTTGGTGCAACACTGCAGCTTGGTGCCCTACAAACTGTCCAGTTGTAAAGATCACACTGCCTCCAAAGTCCCCCACTCCAAGAAAGATGACCCTGCTCTTGCCATGGAAGAATGGACGGGTTGGCCTTGCATGGACACTATGCTCTTGTGTTTAATACGCAGATGTGTTGCGAATGCTGTGCACGAGTTGATCCTATGTTTCTTCCCATGACTTGCAATCAATACCAGGTCAGCCCCTTGCTGAGGTTTCAAACCTGGTGTGCAGGCAAAGTCCCTTGGGGCTGAGTTCTTGACGGTGGACATTGAGGAGTCGGGAGAGGGGGCAGGAGGCTATGCAAAGGAGATGTCCAAAGAGTTCCTTGATGCAGAGGTAGATTTGGCCACTTGGCAGACTGTTCCACAAGCCACGGGATGCTTGTTTTCTTCGTTACGTACTCTGGCTGTCGTGGAGATTGCTTTAATCCTTTTATAATTGGCTTTGACAAGACACAGTGATGTCCTTGCACCTTGTCAGCGATGACCTGCGTGCATGCATCCAAGAACCTTTTTTATGCCCCACATGCTTTAATTTCATCTGTTTGCCACCTGTGCGATCTGATGTTGCTGCGTAACGCTTGGTGATTCCCATTCATTGGCTGTTTGATGTTGAAGCAAGTCTGAATCAAGTTCTGCAAGTGAACGCCATGAGCACACCTGACACGCACATGTAGTTGCAAGGGCAAACGGACGAACATTGTTGACAGATGCAACAGCATGAATGCGGGGTTTCAACTTTCAGTGCCTGGCCCCATGAAAGCTCACACAGATGGGCGTGCTTGCAGATGAAATTGTTCAGCGAACAGTGCAAAGATGTGGACATCATCATCACAACCGCCTTGATACCTGGGAAGAAGGCACCAGTTCTGATCACCAAAGAGATGGTGGAGTCGATGAAGCCAGGTGCTGGCTGCTTGCCAAAAGCAGTGTATGTTACTTTGCTGCCCATTTTGATAGTTGCTGTGGTTAGTTGATGGCCATGAACGTGTATTGAACAAGCCGCGCGCTGGCTCCCGCTTGGCGATGGGGTTGGATTCGTATCCGTTTGATGGTCCTTGGCACCTGATGGAATGTGGTGTGGACTACATCGCTGTGTGGGTGCCATTCCTTTCTTTACATGACATTGGTCATACCTCTTTGGTTCAGCAGAATAGCCTTCCTGTGTGTTGTGCAGGCTTTTTCTTCCAAATTAATGATGTGCAAAAGAGCCAACCCTTTGGCAACTAGCATGTTAGTTTGTGGATGTATTGGCAACCGTGTAAACCGTGAATATGAGCACATGTGAACAACTGATAGGTTCCTGAAGTCATCCTGCATGTCACAGGCTTGATACAAATGGCTTCAGATATGTTGTGCTGCTTCTCGTGTGCCATCACTGAGTCGATGATGTGCTCAAAGCGAACGCATTCGGCCCACTTTTATGAAAATTGGGCAGCATTCTCATTGTACACTTGTTGAAGTGACCAGTTACTCAGTACTCTGTCTTGGGTTGCCTTAGATAATGTAGCAGAGTTTGCAGTGACCACCTGCTGGCAGAGGCCTTCGGATGAGCTGGGGCAAAGGGAAAAGTGGGCAGCAATTGCCCCCTGTTAGATGCCCTTGTGCACTCCTTTCGTGAAAAATGTGCAGCTGCAGCAGGGCCCCACATGTCAAGTCTCGCATGTCGCTCATATGGCGTGTATCATTTGTGCGCAGGTTCTGTCACTGTGGACCTGGCTGCAGAGATGGGGGGCAACGTTCAAACCACGGTGCCTGGACAAGTTGTGAACCACAAGGTACTTTTGAATGATATTATATTTTGGATATATTATATGCATTGTATTTAATTGGAAATTGCATGCATGGGTACAATCATTTAGAAAGTGCTCAAGGGGGGCTGCAGTTCAATCCTGCCTTGGATGGGTGCGCATGAGCGGCTGCCGGGCATGTAACTAGTGCTGTCAGTTGTTTGCCAATAATTGCAAGCTAGTTCATAGGCTTTGTATTCGGTGTGCCCTCAGCCTACACCAAGCAACTGTATGGCTTGAGTAGCTGACAAATTCCAACAAACATTTTCTTTTGTGTGGTAGTATGCTCATAGAGATACTAAGACCACCATTAGCTCAGTGTCAACTTTAGGTCTCCATGCATTGCTGGCAAGGGCCAAGAGACGAATTCCACCCACACAGCATGGTTGATCTTCACATTTTTTTGTCCTTTGGTAAAAGGTCTCTCAGGAATCCCGAGGCTTTTACCAAACTTGTTGATAAACGGCGAAGTGCAGCCCTTGGTCGCCCTATGTTGGTTGACAAGACGCAAGGGGCTCTGCTCAACACTCCCTTTGCCTCAGCCAGCACGCTGTTGCACAACCAAGATGCTTTGTACAAGCGGGCTTGGCTGGCGTAAGAAAGAACACGAATGGCAGTGGATTCCCTCAGTGCTTTGTTGTTTGTTGTTCAGTTCAAGTGCATCGACATGCCATTTGCCAGCACAAAGATCATGCCCAAGTGTCATTGCCTGCCACCATGGGGCCAACGTATGTTCAGAAAAGCATATAGGGAGAAGAAAAGCAGTGGATGGAACAGCAAGGAAAAGGAGTATGCACTTCAGATGTATTCCTTACTATTTGCCTGTATTTCTTGTCCATTGATAACATCTTAGACGCCCATATTATACTATGTATGTGTGTAAGACTAACAGATATAGGATCCAAGGTATTGCATGAAATATGATAAGATCCCTCCTCAGGGACTACAGGCACAGTGCCAATTCCGTGTGCATGGCTAATGGTGACCATTCGTGGTGACATGTTGCTTCCCTTTCTCTTGATCACACATCGCAGGGCGTGCATTGCGTGGGCTTCACCGACCTGCCCAGCCGGCTGGCGACCCAGTCCAGCACCCTGTACTCCAACAACATCTCCAAGTTCCTGCTGTCCATGGGTCCCTTCACCACGGGCACCAAGGGCGAGTTCCTGATCGACCACCAGGACGAGGCTGTCAGGGGGGCGCTGGTGCTGGACAATGGTGAGATGATGTGGCCTGCGCCGCCTCCTAAGGTGCGTGTGGTGAAGCCACTGTCCAACCCCAGAACTTGTAATCCTAAGTGTGGTTGTGTCTTGCAACCTTCATCATGAACCCAAAGATTCTTGCAAAGGTGAACTGAAGATTTAGAACCGAGAAGCTTCAGGGTCTCCAATTTTGAAACCCAAAGTCTGGAGATACACAGGTCTGGAAACCCAACCTACACCTCACTATTTGCTTGTCACCAACCACCTCGTGGCTTTTGGGGGCTTTGGTGACCAGCTTCTGTGGGCATGAACATGTGCATTGATGTCACCTCGTCCTGTCTGACCTTGTGTGGCAATGACATGTTTGTGCCACAGCAAACTGCTGCACCAGCCAAGAAGCCTGAGGTGAAGAAAGCTGCTGAGGGCCCCGTGGACTTGTACCCTGCCACCCTCCAGGTAATGCTTTCTGCACTGGAGCAATAGTCTGAAACCATTGTGTGCAACAACCAATGATAAGTGTTGGCCTCATGCCAGTGCTTCCTGCCACCTATCACAGCAGGAAAGTTCACATTTGCGTGCAGACACAATTCTACGCTTAACCTGTTGCACTTGTATATGCCAGACAGTTTGCTGCTTGTTTCCAAAAATATGCCATTGCATGTTTGCACTGTTGGCACCTTTCCAGTTGTGTGCTTTGTCAGCCAGCATAAATGTTCGGCATTAAATGGTGCAGAACATTGCATTGGACACCAAAAAGTGCGAGTTTACAGGGCATGGCAGAGGCGCAACATACATGCATGGCATTGATTTTTGCCATGGCTGCTACAGCATTTCCCAGACCTTCCAGATTTTGAGGTTCCTGGGTTATTGGATCAATGATGATTTAAGATGCATTGCACACCGGCTTGCTAATGGTTGACTCGGTTGCTTGCCCACAGAATGCCCTGAGCACAACGGGTGCACTTGGAAGTGTGGTGGCCATGGGGGCACTGTCCCCTGGCCCTGCGTTCAGCTCCATGATGACCAAATTTGGCCTGGCCAGTATCTGTGGCTACCAAACGGTGTGGGGTGTCACCCCTGCCCTCCACTCACCGCTCATGTCTGTCACAAATGCCATATCTGGGCTCACTGCAGTTGGAGGTGGGTGGCTTCAAGGCACAACACAGTGCTGTGCGAGATACTGAGCAAAGTACTGGGCAGACTGCTGAGCAGTACTGGGCAACGTACTGGGGACATTAAAGGGCAATGGTGCTGCTGGTGCAGTGTGTGGAATGCAAGTGTTGGGTTTCTCACTGACTTCATGTGGAAACGATGCATCGCAACAATCCTTTGTTAATGTTCATTGCCTGCATTTATGGTGAGAGGTTTGAGCCAACCTGAGTTGACACAGCTTTGAATGTTGTCTTGCACCATGCATTGGGGTGAATTCCACTTGTAGCACATTGCCAAGCATTCCCCATGCACCGTATTGGTGATGCTGTGCGCCTGATTTGATTCTGCCCCTCTTCTGCACTTTGGCATGATTGCTGTTTCCCGTCTCCAGGAATGCTTCTGCTCGCAAACATCGGCTCGAGTGGCAGCTACCTGCCAAACACAACCGCAGAGGCGCTTGCCACCTCTGCTGTCCTGGTGTCTGCAGTCAACATTGGTGGCGGGTTTACGATCACGCAACGCATGCTGGACATGTTCAAGCGCCCCACAGACCCCACAGAACACAACTACTTGTACATGATCCCAGGTGGTGCAGTGCTTGCTGGGTATGGGGTCGGGGCCATGGCAGGTGAGGAGGCCCTGCTGATAAGAAACCTGGGAGATTCCACACCAGACAGTATTGTGTTTATGTCCGATGTCAGAGAATCTCTCTTGTCGACAACATGAAGACTGAACCTCCAGTTTGGGCCATATAACTGTCCATCTGGGAAGGACAGGAAAGGTGTAAATGCAAAGAAAGGACCGTACTGTAATGGGACATTGTGGCATCATCGGACATCGCAGCTCAGCTATATGTTCCACATGAATGCAGGACCATGAAAGAATCATTGCAGACTGCAAAATGCTCGGGTACTGACTGAACTAAACTAGCATTTAGTTTATTACTGTCGGAACGTTGGATCGTCACAGAAAACGTGAGGTTGAGCCACATATTGTCTTCTCAGTCCAGCAGTTGCTGAAACTGAAGAATTTAATGTAGAGACGCCCTCAGTGCCCAAATTTCCGCCTGCCCTGGACTCACCAACACAGCTCACACCCGTGGTTGTTTGAGCAGGCTTTCCTGAGATCACCAACGTCACATACCTGGCAGCATCAGCCAGCTGCATTGGTGCAATTGCCTGCCTGGCTCAGCAGTCCACGGCTAGAGTCGGCAACGCCTTGGGGATGATCGGCGTCTCCACAGGTGTTGCTGCCACGGCAGGCGCCATGGCGGCCACAACTTCGCTGCCTGTGTTCGCACAGGCTGGAGGCTCTCTTCTAGTTGGAGGTGCGCTTCCTCACCTGGAATTGCACTAGCATCCTTGCCACCTTTGTTTGTGTTTGTTCATGGTCAGAAGCAGAGACTTGAACTCACGAATACAAGTATAAGCTAGTTGGATGGATAATACTTCTGTTGAAGTGAACTATATAGTAAGTTTGAATGTATTTCTCAACGAATGCAGATAGGCACAGAGAGATGAATGCACAAAGAATCAGAAATCCAAGCAGATGGTGGCACAAAACAGGCATTATGAATCTGAGGGGACATTTCCCAACAACGTCCATTGCCTGAACAACCAAGTAAATCCAACTTTCGATAGATGAGCGCTGGGCTGACCAATCACAAGTAATGACTAAATGGTGGGTCTGCCCAGATCTATGCCCTTCTGCCAACCGAAACATCGATGACCGGGGATCAATGACCTGCTGATCGGTGTCATGTTGGAGACTTGGTATTGTTGAATGGTTTCCCTTGCCACTGTTGGTTTGAAGCCAGAAGATTATTCTCCTTTCTCCCTTGCAGTTCATTGCAGTCACATGCTGCTGGGAAAAAAAGCAACTCGCTTGTTCGTATATGCCAAATGGCACCAGCATGAACGCCGGCTCTTGCCATTGCCCCCCATGCTGGGTGAATATTTTGTGGGTTGTTCTCAACATCCAGTACCCTTGAAATTTGTTCACCGGCCCTGCAGTGCTGTGACATCAATTGGTGTTCTGTTTGGGAGAATCTGTGGCGGTGGAAGCTAGAGTCCAGTTGGCACTGGCCCTGATGAATTCCATTGGACACGAATGGATTTGGGGCATCAATTTTGAAACCTGTAGTCTTGCCTTTCCTGCAAATCTCAAGTGCCCAGACTACACGACTGCCATTGTGCACCTGGGGAGCATTCTGCATCGATGTCACAGACCTTTTGCTTTCTCAGGCAGGCTGTTGCATATCAGGTCTTGTGCGGAGCTATCACACAGTTTCACCAGCTTCTCATACTGCCTGCTGCCGATCTGTCGCAACGCTGATTGCTCAAGTCTCCGCCACAGAAATCGTGATTGTTTACAAACCTCCAGCACACTGCAAAACAGCTTCTGTTGGGTTCCAAAGCTTCTGTGCGGAATGTTCCATTTCTCCTGAATGTTAGTTGCCTTTGTTGTTTACTGCAGCTGCTCTGGGCCGGGCCATTGCGCAGCGCGTGAATGTGACCGAGCTCCCCCAGATGGTGGCCGCCTTCCACGCCCTTGTCGGTCTGGCCGCCACCGTCACGTCAATCTCCAGCTTCCAGATGGCCAACGACCCCCTGTATCCCCTCGTCTATGCCCCCCTTGGTGTGGATGCTGTGCACAGGAGTGCAAGTTTCCTGGGGGCGTTCATCGGGGCAGTCACTTTGACAGGTGCAGTGAAATTCAAGTTTGGGAATGGACAATGTGGATGTGATCTTTGAACAGAGTCTGTCCTCCTCATCAAGGAGGAAGCAATCTTTTGTGGTGTTCAGGGTTGATGCATTTGCAGGAGCAGTGGCTGCCGCAGGTGCCATGTCCACATGCTTTTTGTCATCTGCCCATTTCTGGAACCCAGTTGTCTTCCAAGATCATCCTGGCTGTGCACACTCTACAGAAAAATCGGCTCAGGACAGGAGCATGTTCATTGCGCTGAAATGCCATTGTCATAGCTTGTGACAGCTTCTGCTGTTCTGTCACAAACAGGCTCCACTGTTGCCTTTGGAAAGCTGCACGGGCTGCTGCCCTCCGCAGCTTTGTCCCTCCCGGGAAAGAATTACATCAACTCGGGCTTGGCCCTGGCCAACGTGTACGCCGCTTACCAGTTCTTGGCGAACGGACAAGATCCAGCCATCGGGTGAGTGCGGCTCCAGGGGATCCTCAAGAGATGTTTTCAATTTGTTGGAACCGCTTGTTGCCGAGATGGAAACTTCCAACATCAAACGGGCACAACGATTTTGTCAGCTTGGATAAATGCATGCATTGCTATTTTTTGCATACATAGCTGCGCTGAGATTCATTGCACGTGTCAGCAACCTTGGGTTTTGTTCAGTACGGCCTCATCTCTCTGCAGCACAGTAAGTCTACCGGAATGTACAAGCAGCCGTATCATGCAAATGGCATGCCTATGCTGACCTTCCGCTGAAGAGTGGAAGGACGGTCTCTAATTTGGCCCATGCTCCCGTGTGTCCCACAGTCTGATGTGCCTGAATGCCACGAGCGTTATGGGAGGTGTGATGGGTGCCCACATGACGGCATCCATCGGAGGTGCTGACATGCCTGTGGTCATCACACTCCTAAACAGCTACAGCGGGTATGCCCTCTGTGCAGAGGGCTTCATGTTGAACAATGACCTCTTGACAGCAGTTGGAGCCTTGATTGGGTCCTCAGGTGCCATCCTTTCATACATCATGTGCAAGGTAGGTGGCTGTGTGTAGTTGAGTCCGAACTAAATAATGTACGTATGTGCTCTGGCACATTTTCCCAAAGCACTGGACTGGTATGCCCGCATAAAAGGTGCTGCCGATGTGACTGTGTTTTGCATGTATGTGACAGATTTTACAAATCACTGCACATGTGCTTTTATAATGATGGGCAACCTTGGCAATCCCAGGTTCCAAAGCCCTTCTGCGCAGTCTCCATCCCCAAAACTGTGAACCTGAACAAGCCCAGTGTGTCTTTGGGGCAGTCTTAATGTGAAATACCCCTGTATTCTTTGATTGAAGCACTGTAGTTTGCATACTCCTATTGTACCCTTTGTGCCATTCATCGTGTATGCCTTGATTTTTGTGCCCATGATATACAATTTTTAAAGCAAGTTACAGGCAGGTTCAATTGGATTGTTATGTAACATTTCAGCACGAAAGACAGTGCCATGTGCCATCCTGGGCAGTCCTGGATTGTCCAAGGTGTAGTTTTGAATGTGTTACATCGTCGGCCAATCGATGGTGGTAGCAATAACATGAACTGTTTGCTGGATGCCAAGGCTGTTGTGCATCCTACAGGAATGCAGTCTAACCATGAACTTGGAGTTTGGCTTGTGCATGAGCAAAACTGATAGCTCTGATTAGGTCTCCAATCTTCAAAGCAACAGCCCCAGAATGCTAACATGGTGCTTGGGATCATGTCAAGCTGTGCCACCGGCACTATCTCACTGCAACCCAACGCATCACAAAGGTCTCAAGGTCGTGGGCCATGGAAAATCTGATCCCATATGGTTCATGGATCAGCAGCCATTTGCCAATCATTCTTCACACAGTTCAATGTTTCTGCACTATGCCCTGTTTTAGGCGTTGCCACTCACCCAGCAATCATCTTCCACAAATTTGACCTGTAGTGCATGGTGACGCCTCTGGTGGTGTGTGCTCACCCAATCTCTCCCACAGGCGATGAATCGGTCGCTAGCCAACGTGATCCTTGGCGGGTACGAGACCCTCGGTGGTGCCGCCATGAAGGTGGAGGGAACGCACCAGGAGACGGACACGCCCGCAGCTGTGGAGGCGCTGACCTCAGCACGAAACGTCATCATTGTTCCTGGATATGGACTGGCAGTGGCCAATGCGCAATACGCGATTGCAGGTGTGTGCCTGACAGTGGTTGGTGGCAGCGTACGGAACAGGAGTGACAGTGATGGCAGAACAGCGGTCTGTTATGACAGCGTTTCTGATATCATAATGGTACATAAGTCATGATGCCAAGGAAGGAGGACACCATCAGTGGTAACATGGCAGGCGCTCTACAAATGTGGAAGGCAAAGGTGTTGCTGCTGGAAGTTCGTTGAAGTTGATGTGGCCCAAGGCTGGATGACGTCATGCTCTCAGGTTTCTGCCTCTGTTGTCCAAAGAATGGCTGTGCTAATTTTATACAGTCTTGAAATTGTACTCTGGCTGTACTAATTGTATACAGTTTTGAAACAGAAGAAAATGCCAGAGTGGAAATGGCAGCATTAGGTTCTTATTGCACTTGTGGACGGTGCACATAATTGTGAGTTGAGAACCATGATTAAGCACTAACTGTGCTAACAGTAATCCATGGAGTCCCGTGCCTGCCTCCACCATGCGCCAACGAATGGCTGCAGAAAGAACCCTGAGATTGCCAGTCTATTTAATATTGTTTCAACTTCACATCACTTTGCTTTGCTGCAACCATGTATCAGAAACCAAACAGCATCAAACTGCACCAAATTGTGCTGCATCGGCCTGTCTGTGTCCTTTTGCGCCAGAGCAACGCGTGCAAAAGTTTCCAACGGGCCCTTCTGAACCGTTGTGTCGCCTCCCACAGACATCGTCAAGACGCTGAGGTCCAAGGGCGTGAACGTGCGGTTCGGCATCCACCCCGTGGCCGGCCGCATGCCAGGCCAGCTGAACGTCCTGCTGGCGGAGGCTGGCGTGCCCTACGACGTGGTGCTGGAGATGGATGAGATCAACGAGGACTTCGACGACACAGACGTGGCCCTTGTCATCGGCGCCAACGACACGGTCAACTCCGCGGCCATCGAGGACCCGAACTCCGTCATCGCAGGGATGCCCGTGCTCGAGGTGAGTGCCAGGGCGGCGCAGGGGGCGCGTGCTTGCCGCCGCAGCGCGGCGTTGCCGTGCGGAACAGTAGTGCGGCGCAGTGTTGCAGTTTGGTGCAGTGTTACAGTGTCACAGTGTTACAATGCAGTGCAGTTGCAGCACAGTGCTGCAGTGTTGGCGCGCGGTGTTGTGCACTTTTCTGCACAGCTGCACGGAACAGTGCTGCAGCGCTGTGCAATGCAGTGAGCCACTGCAGCGAGGCAGTGTGGGCTTTGTGCAGATGGGGTGACATGGTGCTGACCAAAGAGTGACAGAGAAAGGTGTGGGAAGAACCGAACCGCCTGAGACAGAGTTTGTGGGGTTGAAATGGGGGAAGGCGGGTGGGAAAGAATGCAGAGATTGGTAAAGAATTTAAGTTCGATCTGCTGCTAATTTTGACGTTATTGTTCAGGATGTCGACTACAAGTCCATGAAACGTGGATAAACCAGTTTCGTTGTCGGTGTCGCCATAGTTAGTGCGATTATTACTTTCTTGTAGTTTTTGCTGCAGCATTTTCTGTTTGTCACGTATATTTAATTCCATGCCAAATAATATGGAATCTTGTACCAAACTGCCGCTGTACCAAATAAAATTGAAATAGTACCAACGCATATTCAATCTGGTACCAAATTCGCGTCGGTACCAAAATGTTCAACGCTGCACCAAAAAATGTTGAGCCCAGTACCAATTAGCCATCGAATGGCGGCCTGCGACCAGCCCTGTGACCAGCACTGGGCTTGCGCTTGGTTTAGGGCTTAGGGTTTAGGGTTTATGGGCAGTTATGGAAGGGGCGATTCGATGAATAATTGGTACTGGTTTCAATAATTTTTTTTGCACACCGTTCTACAGTTTTGGTACAGGCGCGAATTTGGCAACAGATTCAATATGCATCGGTACTAGTTCCAATCTTATTTAGCACAGCGGCAGTTTGGTACCAGACGCAGTATTATTCGGTACGAAGTTGAATAGGTTCCCTTTTTCGTATCTTTATCAGCATTAGTACCTTTGCGCCGTCTTGTCGTTGTGGGGACTTGAGCATGTGCGGATCTGTTTGGCGCAAAGGTGTGGAAGGCCAAGCAGGTCATCTTTGTGAAGCGGACCATGGGCACGGGCTACGCTGGCGCCGACAACCCAGTGTTCTACAAGCCCAACACGACCATGCTCCTGGGAGACGCCAAGAAAGTCAGTGAGGCCCTGAAGACGACCATTGGGGCGCATTATGGGCTGTGAGGCGGGGCGCCGCAAACCAAGGGAACGCGCCAGAGTCTCTAGTCGTAGGGACCTATTTCTTTAAATTCTTCTTGTGGGCAGGTCGGCCGGGGGTTGTGCTGACAGGGTGGAGTGGGATGGGGGAGAGGGGGGCGATATTGGGGGGCACGCGGATGTGCGATGCGCGCAGTGGATGCCAGCTGTATTTGTGTACAGTACGGTACAGAATGCAGTACAGTGAAGGGCAGAGGCACAAATTCATGGTGGTCGGCCGTGGCGTCTGACAGGTCGGTGCGGCATTACACATCCAAAATGACGGTGCAAGTTGGGACGAGCGCCGGGGCGGTTTGGATGAACAAGGGATTCCGCACATGGCTGTCGGATAGTGATGGGCCATGTGGTCTCGCAGTGTGATGCAGGAAACGCTGGTTGTTTCTGTCAGGAACGCGGCTGATCAATTCCTTGTCACCTTGAGAGGCGAGGCAGGCTTGTTGCGTGACAGCGCATGCATTGTTTTTAGAATCGCCCCCAACGTGCATCTGACAACTGGAGGTGCAGTATCCAGCAACAAAGCCCGTGATTGTCTCTTTCAACAAAGAAAAGACACGTTCGAGTTCAACAGCACTCGGAAGGATGATGATAAACTAGATAGACACGACTTCAGATTGATAAAATACCTTTCCATACAAGATATCTTTTCTGGCAGAACCCAATCCGGATAATTCAATGATAGGACAGGAGCTTCTCCAGCTGGCGGCGCTCCAAACGCCCTTTGTACGCACGCGGAGGCTTAATGCACAGGCGGCAATGCAGCGGCAGCAATGCGTCAACGAAAGCGGACGTGCTTGGGGACCGTCCTTGGGACATCCCCTGGCATCGGCGTCCGAACCGCTGTTCACAGCCTCATGGCAGATTCGCATTTCCTCCACAAGATTGAGCACATCCACACCATATTCAAGACCTGGGTATCTTCGTTCAAGGAAGAGTGTCGCTTATGACGTCTGGCACTTACTTTTGGTACCAATGTTGACATATGTGCGCCCTAATCCCGAATTATCAACAATTTGAAGTTGATCCCAAACAATCAAGAAATTTCCCGTTCACCAATACAGGCCCCCAGTACAGGCTCCGCGGCAGCGGCGCCATCTGTCTCCCGCTGCCAACCAGATGCATGTGCCTGAAAAGAAGCACAATGACAACCCGCGCCAGAGATTGCGCTTCCCCAGTATTCTGCGACAAGCTTGACACCGCTGTCTTCCGCCCGCCCTTTGGCCAAAGCCATCAAGTGACTCGACACCACAAAAAATGCTCAAGTTCGATCTTCCGTTCTCAATAACCAACAACGTGGGCACGCAGAATGGGCAGAATGCTGATGCCAACCGACGCCAGGCCGAGCAGCGAGACAAATCCCACCACCCCATCGCCTCAAAGAAACATCCCGAAACTGCGCTTTGGTATTTTACAGCAAGGAAGGCCCTTCACAATGGCGGCGCCTCACGAAGCTGGCGCTGCAAACCCAACGCAACGCCCGGTGACTGCAGAGCGGAGTGATCCTTGAGCCTGCGCAATTCACCAGTTCTCGAAAGGCGCCCCCCCGGCCGGCGGCAGCTTGGCGCTGATGACGTCCAGGGCAGAAACTTCGTCATCTGCATATGGACGAGACTGTGAAGCTCAGAAATCGCGCTCACGGCAAGCAATGACTAATGGACAGACTGCTTAATGGACATGGGCATTTGACCTAACGACTCGGCTTTGTATTAAACAACGCATCACAAGCGACTGGATGAAGGCATCAGAGCGAGGTAATCGAATTTGCCACGAGCTGTCGCGACTTGCGACCATGAAGTCTCCCTAGCCTGGCGCCCGCAGTCGCATCTGGTGTCCAGGGCATCCGTTGAGACCGTCCTGGCTACTGTGTCTCATGCTTCATTCCTCCACGCATTTCGTATCTCAGATATGCAAACGCCAAACAATTCAAGCAGTTGGAGAGGCCTAGTCCACTCTAATGCAAGGCCACGGAGATCTCCCTGTGACCACTGCCATGCATGCTGGCTTTTCTACGCACAGATCCGTTGTGACCGCGCGGAGGAGAACCAACCGGCTGTGCAAAAGACGACGGCACAAGCCACCTTTCATGGCGTCCCCACCTGTCAGCCTCCATCCCAAGCACCCAACGATCTCCTGCACCTGCCCACATCAAACCAAGCGTCGGCTCGAGCGACGTGGGCGCACTCAAGCGCCGCACCAAGCGCTGCTCGGTGCGACCTACAGAGCACTCTACCACAAAACTAATCTACGCCACAATGCGATGCGGTCTTATGCACACACCGCTTGACACACTGATGCGCTCGGAAAAGAAAAGCGGCATCCTTCCACCTGTCTGGACCAGATCCAGCAAAGCCAGGTTTCTGTGCACGCCGCCACATTGACGCCCCACGGTCTTTCGCAGGGCCATGGTATCGCAGCATGGTGCTAACATATGTGCTGGCGACACAGGTAAAATAATGCGAAATGGCACAGAGACTACAGCCAATTTTTCCTCTCGTGTTGCATGCCGTACACATTCGGAGTCCTAACCGAGTGCTTTCCCAAGTGCATTGGCAACGCAAATGACACGCACGTCTGCTCAGCAGTTGAGGAAAGAGATGCAGCTTCGTCACCTGCGATGCGTTCTTGGCACCGGGAATGGGCAGCACGCCTTTGCACATCGTCCAGTTGATCGCAACCTGGCTCTGCGTCTTGCCGCCATGCGCATCGCCGATTTCCTTCATGAGTTTCAGGAGGGGTTGCACCTGGCGGACGCGGTCAGCTGTGATGGCGTTCGCCCGGGGCCCAGTTGGCAAATTGGTTTCTGTGTATTTGCCTGTCCACAATACAGAAGTCGCCTCAGGTCTCCACCTTCTGTGCAAGTGGTTTGCGCGATGGCATCTCGACCCAGATGTGCATTGTTCTGCTGCACACTGTCTTGTTGTGATCTGTTGTGAGATAGAAAGAATCATCTGCACAGAGGAAGGAACAAGACTGTAGGGTGGGACTCTGCCGCTGACTGGGCCGGCAAAGCACAAGCAGCATGTTGGCTTCCGCATGCGCAAAATCACGCAGTCAAAGTGTCCTTGCACCATCTAGGCACTTTCGTGGACATTGCTTTGCGATGTGCGAATGAGATTATCACAGACAATGACCACGTGCAAAATCATCTGTTGCGCACCAGCAGGAAATGGACAACATTCAACGATTCGTTTCGGCACCAAAAATACCAAGCGTCCAGGGCAGGGGCTGCCACCCTGAATGCAATGATGTCAAGCAACCCTCCAACAGCAAAATCGCACCCACTCTGAGATTGGCAGTCAGGTGTGAAATAAACTATACACTCGAATGTTGTGGGTGCATCGAACAATTATGCACGCAGTCAGTGCTGGTGTGTGCCATCAATGCAGTTTTATGCAGAACCACCCTTGCCTGTCAGCAGGCCCTGTGCCAAGGGGCAGTACGCCACCAGTGTCACCCCCAGCTCCCTGCAGGCCTCCAGTACACCATTCGTCTCCGGATTGCGGTACAGCAGGCTGTACTGAACCTAGGCCAGGTGCAAAAAACAACCACTGACGTCTTCAGGGACGTCATCAGGGAGGATTCATAATGTTTGTGCACACTTTCACAGGTCAGCAGTTTGTGTGCCTGGCATGGCAGTGGAGGCAAACGACCATTGGCATTGTTAGATGCATTCCAAAGTGCAGACAGGGTGATGGTCAACCAGACAAATAACATGATTGGACGCAGGTACAAGTTGTGTCAGCCCTCCCTCACTATCTATCACCCAGAGCATGCACAGCAAAAACACTATTGAACCAATGAAACTTCTGTAACAGGAAACAGTGCCCAATCAGTCACCTGATTCGATGCAAGGGGGACGCCTCTCGCCGCGAGTGCCTTGTGTGCGCTTCGAACGCGTTCGTTGTTGAAGTTTGACACGCCAACTGCCTTTGTCAGACCCTGAACAATTCACAGCAGCTAATAGAGAATGGCAGATGCAATAAATCAGACGGCAAAATTGTAGTTTTGCTTGCACAAGACTCAAGCCGGCATAGGTCCTTGGATTAGCGACAATGTCAAGATTACAAATGTTGGGAACAGTAGCGGTGATGACTGTTTTGACAGTATGTTCCTGCAGCTTGACACAGCAACAAATCTGGCATCAACGCTCACCTCATCAACGCACTTTGCAAGCCCTTCCACATACGCATCATTGAAGAATGCATTCCAGAAGAAGCCCGGCCTGCATGACAGATTCAAGTCAAGGACAAAATCCAGATTGTGGTGTTCTTCCTCAAGCCGATGCGGGGACCTACCGGAACTTTTCTGATGTGGTCAGACATAGTACATGCATTTAATTTTCCACGTTCAGCTTGCATGCAATCTGAACAACAGCAACAACATATTCAATGACAAGCATTTAATACATTTTATATACATTTTAACACATACATTTTATACTTAAATTCATTTTCAAGGACAAGCAGCTTCAGTTTTGGCAGTTTGGTTCATTTGCAGTGCTCAGTTGCATTTGTGCTCCCTGCGCTGCTTGTTTTGGGCTCCACACTCTTTCCCCTTGGGCCTGCCACTTTGCAGCCCTCTGATCATTCTGTTCTGTCCCGTTGCTCCCAGTTGAGCACAGCTGCCTAAACATCGTACTGCATGCTTGAAATGTGTTGCTGCTGTGGTAGGTGGAACATCACCACCACCAACAACTGCAACCACACATGCATTACTGGCTTCTTCAGCGCGATGTGCAGGTTTTGGAACCAAAGCATACAGCGGCAGCACCAGAACACACCCACCAGTGGATCATGTACAGACCAATACTGTCGACCTGCAGCCGTTTGAGACTGGCTTTCAGCGCGATGGGCACAGACTCTGCTGACAGACGCCATGGGTAAGGCGCAAACTTTGTGGCAATGACAGGGGTGCTGGAGGCCTCCTTGGCGAACTCCCCCAGAAACTTCTCAGAATTCCCAAACCCGTACACCTCTGCAGTGTCAATGAATGTGATACCAGCATCCATGAGAGCCTGGAGAAGGAACAAAGAATTGAGTTAGCAGCATCTGAGGAAGCACCAAGGCAATGACCAGGTGCATTGATCGTGAGTAGGGTGCAGTGGACACCTGCTGGCGGCTTGCGCTGCCTTGGGTATTGCCTTGTGTGATGGTTCCTGGGTACCCAGCACCGAGGCGATGGGGTTGATGTACAGGAATTTTCCTGCACTTGGCTACTGGGGACAAAACCTGAATTGGCCAAGCAGGTAGGTATGTACCCACAGAAGAAATTGTCAGATGAACAAAAGCGTTGCATTATTGCTGGCTCATGCAGTCCATCAGGAAGGCATCAATCCTCTTGGCCAGTTTGCCCAACCAAGGCCCTGGTTGCTCAGATGTTGTAGCTGAAAAGAAAGACTTTCCTACCCATGTACTTGTCAGAACACAGGAACAGGCAGCACCTGTTCATTAACCAGGCAATGGGGATTTTCTGGGTTAGTATTGTGGAGAGCTACCTGTGCAGCTTGCTTTCTAAGACTCTGGGTTGCTATGTACGTGTAATGAAGGCGGTTGCCAGTGCCAGTGCCACTGCGCGGTGCCATGAATCATCACATAACAAAAGCGGAAACTCCAAAAAACGCACGAAATCTCATGGTGCTCCTGGCAAATTTTAATGTCGTTGCTTACTCAGTATTGCAAAATGATGCTCTTGACATCGTTTCAGCAAACAATGAAGAAGATAGCCCTACTGCATGGGACATCCACTTAAAGCATGGTTTGGAAGGCACTCTTTGCATATCCAGGGCTGAGTATTGTGTGTGGGCATTTCAGTGTGAATGTGCACACAAGCTTCAGTGTATGTCATTGTGGACACATTGTCTGTGGTAAGATGATAACTCTCTTTCACCCAGTAGAATGTGAGCTTGAATCAATTTCACTTCAGAAAAAAATTCTTTCTTGGGGAACTCTGGCTTGGATGAAATCAGCAATACCAGCTCCTGAAGAAGTGTTGTGAATGGGCTCATGCTCTCCCAAGGCATTTCAATTGTTTCGTTTTTCCCCCTTTTGATCCAAAATGTTACGTGACATTCAGCAAGGCCTGTCATGGCATAGTGAGATCTAGGGCAGTGCCTTGCCTCACTCTGTCAAATGTGACCAAAGAGCTGCATCCTTCTCCAGGTGAGATTTAAGGGTCCAAAGCCCAGGTAACGGGCAGGATAGACATGCCTACCTTGTAGGCCTCCAGGCCTGCCTCACGCCCGTATTCCTTGCCATATCCCCAATACCCAGATGTGTCGCCCCAAGACCAGGCACCGATGCCTATGCTGGTGACCTCGAGGCCTGAACAAATGCACCCAGCATAGCAGTGAGAAGTACACAGGTGACTAAAATATCTCCACTGAGTTCAGATCATAATCAGCAGCTATTTTTTCAGCCTTTGCAGGGACCTTACAGTGCTTGGCCAAAAAGGAGTACCCAAACCTTACGGTCATGAATCCCACAGTTTGAGACACTGGTGGACAGATGCACTGGCTGTCCTTAGAAAATGCCCATCATGCCCATTGGACAGTAACTCCAGCTGACCAATAATGAAAGAATGATCCAATAACCCGTGTGTTAAGGTGTGATGAGGGTAAATCACAAACTCTGGGAAGCCAAAGAATTTAGTCACCAAAGAGCGAGAAGAGAGGGTGAATCTGAGCTTGTCACGGCTCTTTCTGATTAACTACTGTGCTGAGAAGTGAAATGAAAATTGTGGTGCGCTGCTGTCAAGGCGGACAAAGATGAGGCGACAAAGTGTTGTGGGACCCGAGAGATCCGATGGGTGTCACATCAAAAGAACAGCCAATGAAGGGAGATGCAACCCATTCCTGGCAAGAGCTTGGAGATTGTCGGTTTGCCTTTGCGCGATCAGAGCCAGATCGCCGACTCGGCAACACCTTGAGGGTCAACTCCACCGAAGTCTGGCGCTCCCACTACTATTTGTCCACACCGTGCCACACACGTCCACTCATAGTTATGAATCAAGCACGCGCCAAACGCGTTGAAAACAACCAGCCCGACAGCAGACAGCTGCAACGATCCCTCAAATCCGCACTGCAGCATTCGATCCAGCGACAAGCCCCCCCGCCCCAATCACCGCGAACGCCGGTCGAACCGCGCGGGCCGCGCCAACGACAAAAACCGCTTCGGGAATCCGATTCCCGCGCGATCGTGCGCACCCGACTTTCCGAGCTCGACGGTGCCATCCCGCGTGGCCACCTCCCCGCCCACCGCTGCGCCCGCCGTCCGTGCTGGCCCAGACTCCCTCGCCCCCCGGCCCGGCCGTGTGGCCCTGATCCCCGATCGCTTACGACCGGAAACCACCCCGCATTCCGTGATCAATCCCACCCCGGACATTCTGAGAAAGCCGGTAACTGCAGGCCGATCCCTTCACACCGACAACTGCGGACCGTCCGGGCGGGGGGCAACGTCGCAGGGGGGAATGGGTGGACAGGCACAACGAGCGCGTTCCCCACCCCAGAGCGTCGCTCAGGCGTGTCCGTTGTTGGAGCACCATTGGCCAAGACACCAGCCAAAAAGCGAGCCCTACTGCCACGTGGCGGCAGCGCACGACAACGGCCAAATGGGCCCTGTGGGCCCAAAGCGGCGGGCGCCCACACCCCCGGCCGGTCGCAGCGCGCTTGGGCGGCCGAGCGCTTGGCCGCGGGGCGCGCAATGGGGTCCGAGGCCTCTCCCTCGACGGCCCTGCGCGGGCCGATCCTTTCGCGATCGATCCGGCCGCGGGCGGCGATACGCGATCTCTGCCGGCCATCCCGACGGCGCTTTGGGGATGCGCGGCAGCGCGGGATTGCGCCGGTCGGCGGGAGGATGTGCTACCCAGCCGGGCACGCCGGAGGGCGGCGCGGGGTGGAGGGTCGTGGATCGGCGGGAGCCGTTTCGGCGGGAGGTGCGGTGGGGGATGAGGAGGCGGGTCTGGAGGCGGTGCTGTTCGACATGGACGGCGTGCTCTGCGACAGCGAGGTTATCTCGAGAAGGTGGGGTGCGCAATATTGGGCGTGGGGGAGCACGCGGGTGGCTGGCTGGCACTGGGGGCCTGGGGCGCTGGGCTGCGCGTTGTTTTGTGCCCGGCGTCGATGGGCTTAAGTTGTATGCGTTTGAAATGGAGGCGCGTGAAAAATCGAGAAAAGGCGTTTGAAGGGAATGGCGGGCGCAGCAGCACGCGAATCTCGGTATGGTGCCACTTTGTTCCAGTGGATCTCGCACTTCTGGCTGCGATTGTGAGTGTGGAAATGCATGTGAGCACTGCAATGCTCCTTGGGGAGATGAGCTTAGTCTGGGATGGTGGTCGTCCTTTGGACACCATGTATCCAATCACATGAATGATCTCAGAACTCCCTGCAAGGCTAGAAGGGGATGATATTCAAATTAAGGTCCCAAATCGTTCACACCAATTTTATTCAATTTAGTGTCCAAAAACTGTACAAAATCATCAATGGGGGACAGATGGACGGAGTTGGACATCAAAGGCATTGTCACTGTTTGGCAGAGGATGGCATCATGATGACAAAACAAGGAGCAACCAGCAACTTCGACTGGTGTTGTCATCCCGTGTTATGCCACAAGGCAATGTCCCATCATCTCAGTCCAGGCACAGGAACACTGTTTTCACACATAGGCGAAGTGCTTTGATGAAAAGGCAGGGATTCCTCAGGATACTGGTACTGCCGAGGTAGCATTGGGAAGATGGAGGCCAGATACTAAATCAAAGCCAGGTGTGGAGGGTATCAGTTTGTCCTCTTTTCAATGTGTTAGGAGGTAGTTTTTTTCCCACCCCAGGATCAACCCTGGCTGTGTGTTTCTGGCAACGTGGAGATTTTCTGCCGTGGAGACTCTACTTCAAGGCCCATTTGAGTCTCCAGATCTCTCACATGCACTTCCAAAGGAAATGCAGCCAGTAGGAATGTCTGACAACATGCCATGGCACTGGCTAGCCACTGCCCCCCTCTGAATGTGAAAACAAAGGCCTGGAGCCACAACAGAACTGCTAAGGAGAGGAGCACGCTCGATTTTGGCATTACATATCTTCCTGGCAAGAGGCAAGCCTGTAGCCCTGCCAGTTGTCACCTAAAGGTGCCAGGGCAATGCCTTGTCAAACTCTTGCTGTTGCAGTGCATGAGATTGGCCAAAGATCCATCACACAGTCCTCAAGGATCTAGGTTGCCACAACAGGATGCCTTGCAAAACATTCTTACCCTGCTCTTGGAGGATAACCAGTCACCAGGACACATATCCTGGAGAGTTTTTGTTGCCAGTGCTATTGTTCTGGGAATGCTGTTGAGTCATATGAATCATATGTCAAAAGACTACCATTTACTGTTGGAGGGCGAAAGCACCCCAATGGTATGCTGCCCTGAGCATTGTATTCAGGCCCCGAACATCACTGCCCAAAGCCAGATAGCACCACTGAACAGCATCTGGTCTGTGCATGTGGTATACTGCTCTGGTATCTTGGAACAGGTCCGATGCTATTTGGCCGAAGTTACCTTGTCAATTGAACCCACCATTACGAATGCAGGTGCCAACAGCTCCTGTGCTATTTTTCGAATGCTGCCTTGGCAAAAGGGTACACCAGGCAGTGCCAATCGTTCCTGTATAGCACCAATGGTGCAATAGAATCAATTGATGAAGTTCACATAATATGAGCGCTCATCAATACAATCAACACATGTAAATGGGCTGCTGCAGAGGCCTTAGCATGATTTTAGTTGCAAGAATCACATTCAATGTAACGTACCAAGCAGAATGTTCCTGAACACACTCCTCAAGCTGCATTTATCACTGCACATTATTGGATGTTCCGGGCTTTGCCCCAAGAACGTTCTGTGCAAGTAAGAAGCAACATTTTGTTTCACATACCCCATTCTTCACACCTAGCCCCAGCCTCTGCTGCCAGTTTTCTTCCATAAGGACCATTCTGGCCACTACTTGCTTGTGATTGCCCCCCAAAACAAATGAAAGAACTTCAGTGTGCGATGTCGAATTGGCTGTGCTGCCAGGGCTGCCGTTGAGGTGATGAAGGAACTTTACAATCTCGATGTCACTGTGGAGGACTTCGTCCCTTTTGGTGGGCAGGGAGAGAAGTACTTCCTAGGTGGTGTAGCAAAGAAGTACGGGGCAGACTTCGATGCTGACAAGGCAAAGGCCAAGTTCTTTGATATATACTTCAAGAAATATGCCAAGCCTGGTGCTGGCATAGGATATCCAGGTGTGCCAACGCATTTGCATCCGCTGTGCCTTTGCATGTCTCCACTTGTCTTCGCTTTGTTCGTGCTAGCTCCTCTCTTGCAATGCATTTCTGCAAGGTTGAAGCATGTGCATGGTTTCAGCACTGTGGACGGTACTGCAACCTGTGCAAGGGCTTGGCCCACTCATGATGGCAACATAGTAGAGGCCCTTGCAGTTCTGTGTTGTCAGTCTGGAATTGGGGCCAGCTTTGTGGCTTGCACTGCTTCTCTGGTATGCATGCACAATCTCCACTTCTGGGAGTACTCAAATCTTCTAGCCGGTGTCTCTCGATTGAACCCCCCGGGTGTGCATGGCACCACAATGGGCCAAAGTGAGTTTAGATGCTGATTTGAGGCTCTGCAGCAATTTCTCTTGTTTTTGTTCTGCATACTGTCAACACATCCGTTGCAGCAATATGGAAGTTGAATCACCTTTTTATGGCACATGGCTCTACCAAGTTCAGATCATTAGGCAACGTTAAGTCACTAGCAGTCTACAAAGGACCTCACAATGCTTGGCACAAACACACAGAACCCTGCATCAAATAATCTTTTAATGGAATCCTAGATTTCAGGTGGTGTTTCTGTACATGCATGTGATCCCATCAGTTCTCGTGTTGTTATCAATTTGGGGGAAGAAAGTAGATGCTGGAGACCAGTCAGGTGTGAGAGGCAAAACGTATGATATATTCCCTCTCAAGCAAGAATCTTGTCTGTGACACTGTTTTCCATGCTATAAGAATCGATGCAGACGTGTCACAGCACAGCAGAACCATCAAGCATCAGGTGCCATTTCATTCATCAACAATCTGTCTTGAACAGGTTTCTGCCCAACAGTCATACGTTCTTGATTGGTAGAATTTGCAGCTGTGGTGTCTGGTTGAATCTGTGGGCATATTTGTATTTGGAGTGACCACGTCAACAACACCACTTCACTACCCTCCTTGAGCAGCTCTACGGACTGTCAATCTGGTGTAGGGCTGCAGTGCTGCAGAGGTAACAATGGACCCAGTGTGTGCAGGGTCACCCTCACTTGCAAGTATTATTACACATACCATTGTCAAGCCGATGCTGCCGACCACAACTTTCTGTGGGCAGCCATAGTCCTGCAGACTCTTGGTTGTGACTGGGCATCTTGTTTGTTCACTCAGGTGCATTGGAACTTGTCAGGGCATGCAAGGATGCAGGCATGAAGGTCGCTCTTGCCTCTAGTGCAGACCTGGTCAAGGTGTGTCATGCCTCACAGCAGTAATTTCGCAATAGAATTCCGGAAGTGCTGTCAGACAACAAAACGCTTGACGCTTTCTTGGACACTGCTATTCTGGAATCGAACACAGCTGGTCGTCCTGTGGTTATTTGATATGTGTTCTACTTTGGCTCAAGCTGTGTGCATATGTTGCCACTCTATTCCATGATTCTCACCCTTTCTCAGGCTGAACAAGTTCTGGAGACATTCTTGGGCATTGCTTGCACACATACTCTTATTCCATTACATCAAGGATCACATCATCACATCACGCTATTATTATATTGGATCGGGCTGCAAGTTTTGGTAGGGCAAGCGGTTCATGCATTTTTCAGGTCTTGAGGAACCAGTTACCTGGCAATGTTGCTGCAGGTTGAAGCGAATCTTTTGGCAGCAGATTTGCCAATAGAAATGTTTGATGTTGTCATGTCAGCTGACGCTTTTGAGAGGTTGAAGCCAGCCCCCGACATCTTCCTGGCTGCGGCCGCCAAGCTGGGTGTGAAACCAGCCAGCTGCATCGTAATCGAGGATGCACTTGCAGGCGTGCAGGCCTCTGTTGCTGCAGGTGTGTATCCGGTTGGCAGTACACTGCACAGCGGTAATCTGGGGACTATGCGCTTTTTGAAATTTGCAGTTTCTTTAGCATGCACCCATGGAGAAGTGTCATTTCATCAGGAAAGAATTGTCTTATACACTTTGCCATGCCCTTCTGGTCAAGTGTTTTTGTGCACTTTGCAACACTGCACATGATGTTCGGTAACCTGTGAGTTATTGTGTCAATTGTTAGCAAGCACTCTTGCGGGTCAACAAAGCAACGGGAATCTCACCCAGGTACGCAAAGTGGCAGTGTCATGCTTCTCACAGTGTGAATGCACAAGGAACACTAATTCTGGACTTCGTTGATTGTTGCACTGCTGTATGTCATTGTGTTGGTCGCGGGAAATTCTACACTGCCATCCATGGCATGGGGAAGATTCACGCATCCATCACTTTGGCGGTGTGGATGCTGCACTGTGCCCTGTAAGAGTCAGTCATAATTTGTCAGCCTGGTGCTTGCTGAGTCTCTGTGACCAAACTGACGGGCATGAGCTGAAGGCATTGATGGGATTGCAACCATCCTGTTCTCGCAAGGCTTGCTATCATTCAAAGCTGTTGCCTCTTTCGTGGCTTGGTACTTCCTCCCTCGATCCAGAACCCAGTATTCTCGCACCTGACCAAATATATCCTGCTGCAACCTTCCAGGAGTGATTGTCCATCCCAATTGTCAGAAATCTTTGGCATCACCCTGATGCATCGAATTCTCTACTGTGTTTAAGCTGTGTGTCGTCCATCTGGGATCCAGGCATTCCATGCGTGGCAGTGAAGACGACGTTTTCTGAAGATGAGCTGCTGAAGGAAGGGGCTGTGTGTGCCTATCCCGAAATCAGTGCCATTTCACTGGACGACTTAAGGGCGGCATATGCAGGCAATACTGGAAGTGGTGGCCCACCTGCTGCAACTGACCAAATCCAGGTAGGTGCTGACCCTTGCGTCACCACGCTTGGGGCAGACAAAAGGTAGAGGGGCCTAAGCACACTGTTGTTTGTTTGATACTACAACGTACTTGAAGTACATTGATGAGCCAACTATGTGACACATGACATTATGTTGCTCTGACCTGACTGCAAGGTGCATCAACTGAAGGAACAGACTGTTGTTGTTGTCAATCCAGCCATAGTGGCTATCGAGCTAGTGGTACTCAGTATTGTGCTGTACAGTGAGCAGCTGCCAACTATCTCTGGTCTGTCTTATTGTTTTGATTACCAAATTGGCTATTGATTTGTGTACTGATGCAATTGTGGATGCAAAGCATCCATTCCTGTTGATTTGAAGGACAAGCACTCAGATGCAATGTTTCAAACTCATGCTGGTTGGTTGCCGCAAGGTGCGTTATGTGCAATTTTAGGCACCAATTGGATGTTGGCTGAGACCTTCAATGCATTGGCTGTGATTGTGAAATGCGAATTACTGTGCTCAGGAATTTCTTGAAGGAGAGGTGCCCTTGCCGGGGGGCTACACAACATCTCGAAGGGATGCCCTCAAGATTTTGAACCTTTTTGCCCTTGCCTCAATCGGTGGATATATTGTTGCCTCAAATGCAAAGGTGAGATCCTGCTCCTCTCAATGTTATTTGCGGTCGTCAGAGGACTGGCTGACCACTGCCTATACTTTTCCAAGTGAAATTGACTTGGCCATCACATCTAATTTGGGTTCTTTAACCACATGCACCAGTTTCTGAGTTTGCCACTTAATTTGCCTGTTGCTGTTGTGCAGGCCATGTCATATGCTACACCAAAGGCCATTATGAATTCTTTGCTTTCTTTTGCGAGCATCAATAATGGTGTTGGAGGAGGTGAGGGAAGCCGTGTCGACTCATTCAAGAGATACATCAAAGGCATTGAGGACAGAGGCGGCGGAGAGGTGCTTTAAACGTTCCAAAATATTGATTCACACTGAAAACCTCACATTTAAGACGAAAGGTGCCACACCCATCCAGGCAGAAGACATGTGGACCTTGTGCTAATAGTCTTGGAGTTAATTGTGCCAACCATGCTTAGGAATTGGCTGAAGGCTCTCCATTTTAGCAGCGCACTTGATTTTGTCATTTTTATGGGACACAGCTTATATTCCCACAATATTATTCCCCGTGCTGAAGCTTGCAAGTGCAACATTTGGAAGCAGGGGGTGGGGGGTGGGGGGTGGGGGGGGCCATGTGTTGTGTGATTGTTCGTGTGTATGTTGTACATGTGCACCAAATGGCCAACTGGAGTTCCTGTGTGCCTCCAGCTGGTGCCAGAATTCCCCAGTGGCTTGACATGGTTCAACAGCCCGCCCTTGCATCTGGCACGAGAACTCAGAGGGAAACTCCTGGTCCTGGACTTCTGGACTTATTGCTGCATCAACTGCATGCACGTGCTGCCAGACCTGGCTGCGATTGAGCAGAAGTTTGCAGGCAAGCCAGTGGCCGTCGTCGGAGTGCACTCTGCCAAGTTCGACAACGAGAAAGACAGGTGCGGCAAGAGCATGGCATCTTCACTAAACTTCTATATGCTGAATGGCAGTTAGGATGACATTGGCGCTTGTTGCATCGATCGTACCTGCGTTTTTCCTTGTGTGCATGATGCTACCAGCACAAGACTCAAGAGATTGTGCTGTCCCCTGCTCTGAATGCTACGTGGTGGACGTCCTGGAGTGTAAGCAATCAAATAACTTGCTCTCTTGGGCACCTGCAAAAGCACCGTCGGATGGCTGCATGGCAAGCCATGTCCTGGCCATGAGCCATGAGCCTTGCTGTTTCCAGCAGTGCCCAAGTTGTGCTTATGCATGCTTCTGTTATGTGCGATGCAGTGATGCAATTCGCAGCGCTGTTCTTCGTTATGACATCAGCCACCCCGTTGTCAATGATGGGAATATGGTGCTGTGGAGAAAGCTGGGAGTGTCTTCATGGCCCACATTGATGGTTGTAAGTCCAAGGTATGACGCCTCAAAATGGCGGTGTATGTGAGTGGATTTACAAGGGTCCAGGGTGACGGACCTGTGGCCCACATTGTAATGCTCTTTGCAGATACAGTGCAGTACAGCTGTAGTGCCAAGGCAAAACAATGCTTCACTGTGTGCAATGGGTGTGTTGATGTACCCCTGTTTGATTGTGCACATGCTTGCAGCTCTGTCAGCATCAAATGCTGAAGCACATGGGATACATGGAACGATTCTTCTGTCCAAAAAGGCACACAGTATTATGCATGACCAGCAGGCACATTGAAAAGGAGTTTATGTCAGCTGAAGCACTAGCTTCCACACCAGCAGAGAACACTTTGCAACAATTTGCCCTTGCACAACACATTTGAGCAATTTTGCCTAATCTCATGGCCTTGCTGTGCAGCGGGAGGGTTCTGTTGCAACTACAGGGTGAGGGACACAGAAAAGACTTGGATGACATTCTTAGTGCAGGCCTGGAGTACTACGGCGAGAAAGGGGACTTGGACAGTTCCCCAGTGCCACAGGTGGGCCACGATTTGACGAATTTGGCTTTTGGGAAGGAAATCGTAGCCAGCAAACAGTCTGGAGGGATAGTATTTTGGTTTTGGGTACGAGGTTCTATGGTCTAAAGATGGGGACTCCTTATGACGAATAGTTATCCTTGAATTCCATTGCTGGGGTGAGCGTCTGACAGGTAATTCTGATATTGCAACAAGTGCCTGACGTCACCTTGAACGTCCAATGACAGTCCTCCTCCAGAAAAACTGTAGCCAGAGGAGAACTGCACAAATGGGCGCTTTGCCATTGGTCAGAGACATGTGGTTCACTGTTTTTATAATGTGGCGTTTCCACTGCAAGGCCAGTATTCACTTTTGTCAAGAAAAGTTCTCCATGAACAAGGATTTAGATCATGAGCTTTAGATCATGAGAGCAGCAGCCCATACTTCTGTGTCCAGTGGCTGCAAATTAATGAGCATCATTCAGGCCCTTTGCACAACGAGGCTGTTGGGTCAATGTAATTGCCTCATGGTTTTGTCTGTGTGCGTTGCTCTAGACCTTGGAAAGAAACAAGGATGCCAGGCTGCTGAAATCGCCCCTGAGGTTCCCCGGGAAAATTGCCACAGACGTGGATGGCGACAGGCTATTCATTTCAGACAGCAATGATCACAGGATCATTATCACGACACTGGATGGCAAGTTCCTCACGCAAATTGGTGGAAATGGGCCCCATCTGGAGGACGGGAGTTTTAGCGAGTGTGCTTTTAATCGGCCCCAGGTGAGTTCAGCGTCAGTCGACGGGCTTCTGCAAGAACTAATAGTCTTGCTTGTCCACTTGGCATATTGTCAGGATACAACGTGGGCAACTCTCATGGGCAACTCCCTCGTATGCTTCAAGCCGTTGCGAATCATGGCTTCTGTTACTTGCACAGCTGCTGAACTTCTGTATTTGTACTTCGCAGCACAAATCTATGCCTTGTGGCAGGGAACGCCCCTTTGACAGGTGCTGCAACGCTGCCATTTGCATCCGTGTGTGCTTGACTAACCTCACAAGTCCCAAACTGCGGTTCCTGATGCTCCTTGCTGCGCGGCCGTCTTTTCTGAGACTCGTGGATCGCCTCATTTAATAGTAAGGGTTGCGAACACTCTGCTGGACAACGGAACTATCACTGTGCTACCTGCCACTCCTTCTGTCGAACAGTCGTATTGACACGAACGAACGAAAATTGTTGCTGCATCGCTTGGATTCACAGAGGCGGCAACCAAGGTGTTGGGGCGGCTGTGGTTTTGCAGGGCCTCAGTTTTGATGCCTCGCGTAACGTGTTGTACGTTGCCGACACAGAAAACCACGCCCTCCGAGAGATAGACCTGTCAGGCCAGCAGGTGCGCACACTGGCGGGGAACGGCTACCAGGGCAGCGACTACTCGGGTGGAAAGAAGGGGCAGAGCCAGCAGCTGAGCTCCCCGTGGGACGTCCAGGTGGACGCCAAGGTGGGCAGAGGACACGCAAGTCGCTGAGAACGCCGTTATTGAAACGAATGCACGATGGATAATGAGGGCTGCTTGAGAATGGAAATATGTGCTAGTACTGTGGCATTTGTAACATACCAGTACTGACCTGGCACGGCGAGTTATCCTTTCACAGTTTCACATTCCCTCGTGCCCTTCATGGTATACTTTGTATTACTTAAAGCGTGCATGAAGTTCATATTTAATGGTTGTGAGTTGTTTCGATGTACAGAAGCGAATGCAGTAATTGACACAACCCTGTGTTATGCATCAGATTTATTCCGTTTCTTTGCAACTGTGACGACACTGATGCCATTTGTCGTTTGGCTTTGGTTGGCTTAGAGCAGCCATTGTGAACAATTGCCTTTTCAGTGCACAACTCGGTGCCCTGCAGTTTCCAGCGAAGCCACACCTATACAGGACCTCATACAACATTCCACAGCATTCATTTCGGACGGTTTTGGATTTTAGTGCACCTGGCACGCACCAGGATCAAGCCACCTTTCAGCCCCTTGCCTACGGCTTTCAGGATGACCTCACGTTCTCCTTTTGGATATTGGTGCTAGTCACACAACCCGGCCATCGGTTCTGCCCACTACTTCTCAGGAGCAACGAAGCGCGGACTCACATCCTAGTGTGATAAAGTACGACGAGTGGGTGCCTAAACGCGGCTCAAGTTTTTGACTTCCGAGGATCCAGGACGTTGGAGGGAATGAAGACCTTGGGTACTGGATTTGCATGTCATATTTTTTGATTCTCAACCGCGATTGTGTACCTTAGGGAGAGAACGTGTTTGTGGCGATGGCCGGCACACACCAAATATGGCGATACAACGTCGCCGACGGCAAGATTGGCGCCTTCAGCGGCAACGGCTTTGAACGCAACAAGAACTCCGAGAGGGCCATCGGCACTTCTTGGGCGCAGCCCTCAGGTGCGTGTTCCTTGGCGCATGAGCAATGCGGCCTCCATACTGTTGAGCACTTGTTCACAAATTGGCACGATTTTGAATGAAGTTTCGGATGCCATCACTGCAGCTCAGCTTTGCGCATCCGTCGCAATTATATCTGCGAAAATTGAAGCAAGAGCCACGTAATACAGTAGTGCTGACGTCGACTGCGGTGTGGAGCAGGTTTGTCAATGACCGCCGACGGGTCTGAAGTCTTCGTGGCAGACAGCGAGAGCAGCAGCATCCGAAAGTTCAACTCCCAGACAGGGGCGAGCCAGGGGTGCGTGGGTGGCGATGCGGTGTTTGCGGACAACCTGTTCAAATTCGGTGACAAGGACGGCACTGGACAGAGCGCCCTGCTGCAGCACCCGTTGGGAGTTTGTGTGGCAGCAAGTGGAAAGGTAGATTGTGCTGTTCTTCTCTGTATGTTGCAGGCGAGGTAAATGCTTCTTCTCCACAAAGCACGGCAGCAGCAGTGCATTTGCCGCACAGTGCGCTTCTCGTTCTCTTGGCTATGCGTGTTGTTGAATCTCGTTTGCGATGTTGGATGCGATTCCGCTCCGGAGAAAAATGTGTGTTACACGAATAATGCAATAATTAGCGAATAATTAAATGCGAACAATTAGCTGTTTTCCTTGGTTTTAGCAGATGTGTTGGATGCTCTCAGCACAGCATTGTAGGTGTAGGCTGCACGCTGGGCCTCCCCCACTCCAGCAAGGATTGCGATTGACCACTTTACCCTGCTGGCCGCCTTAACTCCCGACGACCCTTGCCCCTGACGACTTTGTTGCTGGCGGCTCCTTCGACCGACGCCCCCTGCGCCCTGACGACCCCACCTGCGCTGCTCCAGGTGTACGTGGCGGACTCCTACAACCACCGCATCAAGGAGCTGGACCCGGCCACCAACACCATCACCACCATCGCGGGCTCTGGCGCCCTGGGCTATGCCGACGGCGCGGGCACCTCGGCCAAGCTCGCCGAGCCCGGCGGCATCGCTGTGGGGCCCCAAGGCACCCTGCTGGTGGCGGACACCAACAACGGCGCCATCCGCGTGCTGGCGCCGGACTCCAGGCGACTGAGCACGCTGGAGCTGTCGGGGGTGCCGCCGCCCGCGGTGTCGCCGCTGGAGATCGTGGTGGACGCCGACGCGCCGCCTCCTGGGAGGGTGAGTCCGTCCGTGAATCCATCCGTCCGTTCGTCCGTCCGTCCGTTCGTTCGTTCGTTCTTCCGTTCGTCCGTCCGTTCGTCCGCCGGCTTCGCTCGCCGAAGTGTCGCAAGCCACAGTGCCCTTCCGCCTTCAGGTGGATAGCGGCCTGGGGAGGGTGAGTGGGCCCTGCCAAGGGAGCGCACATTCTATACGAATGCCGCCCAGTTTTGGATCGCGTTGATTATGCCAGGCCTTCCTGGAGTCTTGTTCTTTTCCATCTGAAGCGCTGAACCCGCTGCAAGCTTCGTCTGTTCCTGCGTCAGTGTAAGTCCACTGCTGACACACGCTGACCGTCACAGATCATGCCTAGCCACCCACACTTCGACGAAACGCAGTGTGCGCATCAGCGATCCGTTGTCCCAAACCCAAGCCCCCCATGCAAACGCCAACCTGCCCAAATAACCGAAATCACATCTCCGCTGCACGCAGGTGGTGCGCGCCAACCCGCTGGACGCCCAGAGCGGCGAGGTGCAGGTGTTTGTCAGGTTCCCCTCCGGCTTCCACTACACCAAGGGCGCGCGGAGCTCCTTCCAGTCCCGCCTGGTGGGCCCCGGGGCCTCGGGCGTCACCCTGGCCCCTGCATCGGGCGAGCTGCGCGACGCCGCGGGCCCGGCGGCCACCGTGCGCTTCTCGGGGGGGGCCCGGGCGGACCGGGCGACGATCCAGATCGACGCGCGCGTGTACTTCTGCGAGGAAGGGAAGGAGTGTTTGCTGGACGAGGTGCGCTTCGAGGTGCCCCTGATGGCGGGCGGGAGGGCCGGGAGCAGCCAGGTGGCCAAGGTGGAGGAGATTGTGAGCAAGAAGGCTCCGAGGGTGGACGTGGCGGCCCTGTAGGGACGCGCACTGTGAACGAGGGCTTGCTGTGTAGACGGCGCGTCCCTTGTGGACACCTGTAGACGAGGCGTCCTTGTGGACATCTTGTAGACAAGGTTTCCCTGTGGACGTCTCATGGGCGAGGCGCTGGGCTCGTGACCCGGCCAAGGCGGAGCGAGGAGGGCCTGATTGGCCGTGGCGAAAATGTGGAAGTGTATCAAGGGTGTGGTGAATTGGGACCCCATGGCTACATCCTGGCCTGGATATGTGAGGCTTCTTGATGAGGAGGACAGGGCCCGAGGGGTGGAGGGTGAGGGGATTTTTGGATAAGGGCCTGCGTAGATTTTGGCATTCTTTTCATGACATGTGGCATCGGCGGTGAATTCTTTGCTGATTGAGGCGTTTTTTGGGAAGTTGGGATTTGCTGATTGCTGCTGATGGACAGGTCCCTTTGGCGGTCGCCTGGCGGTCGCTTGTGTGTTCAATCTTCATCGTTCTTTCTGATTTGCATGCTGCACATACTTTCCATCACCTGTTGGGCCCGACGGCGGAGCGAATCTTGTCACGCTCAAAGCCCCATTGTTAGGACGTTCAGATAGCCTCGAGCCTGAAGACAACCGAAGGATTGAAGCATGGTATGTAGCATAATGTACAGAGAGTAACTCTGCCAATGCCATGAGCACAGCGACAGTTTTCGCAACACAACCGCTAGTGGTGGTCCATGTAAATTTCTGTCACCGTTGTTACCGTTGAACTCTTTGGATGGGTCCTGGTGACCTTCCTCGTCCTACTCTTGCCCCCTTGTGGTGGACGTCAGTCCATGTGTGTCGAACAACATTCACAGTGACCTCGTCTCAGGCCCACTTTTCTGTTTGACCCAGTCCCGCCCTTTCCTGGCAAAGTTCCGCCCGCGTCACTGTGCGTGCCTTTAAAGGCATTCAAATTTGAATGTGGCTTGTAGCATCCCATTCCAGACCCGCGTTGCGCTGAGGTTTCTTTGCTATGTGTCAATGGAACGGCCTGGAGTTGGGCAACACATGACAATGTGGCCCAGAGCAGAGGAACCACTCGAGGCAATACGGGGCCTATGTACTGTAGGCAAGGGAGTCGGGCTGAGTATGTATCGAGGAATTTCTTTTCAGAACAGCCGCACTCATGTGCCGTGTGCATGACACATCGAATATTCCAGCTCGAAATCTAGTATGGCATGTCGGCTCGAGCCTACGATGTGTCCATTCCCATTGCCCGCAACAAGAACTCGATCCCCCGACATTATCCCATCACGGCTGCAAATATATGTCACGTGTCCTGCATAACAGTGCGACAGGCACGCGAGCGAGCCACCACTTCCCTACTCTTATCTGTGGCCCTTACATGCCAAATGACCACCAGAACTCCTCCACAAAGCTCAATCTCAGGCACGTGACTAAATCACAGGATCTAGGCTTCATCATATCCACACACACTAAGAACCTGGCTGCTCTCTCAACAATCATCCCCCAGCAGTACAGCCGGAAGGCATTATGCAAAACTCAGGCAGATACTCACACGCTCCATTGGACATCTATCGACACCAGTTTTTCAGCCACTCACATGCCACACACAACATACCTTTCTTGGCATGCTGCATCGGCCGAATCCACCAACCACACAATATCATCCGCCATCCTTCTGCACCATCACCTCCCTGGCTGGTTGCACAAGTCCTAATGCTCATCACACCTCTTTTTGGGTCCACTCACAACAACTGATGTATCCAGCACAAGTTCTCACGGCCAAGGTATCAGCTCGACTGGCCAGGCCAAACTGTCATGAGTTGGGCCAGCCTGTCTGCCATCGCCCTAGCAATGACCAGCTCGACCAGTAGGCAAAACACATGAATTATCGCGCCTACCAACGTCATCGACTAGCGGCTATGCTGGCCTGCCCGTTGCAGACCGGCAACAGGCCTCGTCCTCCTTCTCCGTCTTCACTGGTAGACTTCAACACATCATTTGCCCACCACCACTGTCTGCACGGCTCCAGCGCTCTTGTATACAGGCAGTAAGGTTCCAATCCGCTGTCATGCATCGCGAATTGTCCACATGCGCAACAGAGCCCCTTTTCTCCCACGCCGTAGGAGTTCTGGCGATTGGTGCGATATCAAGGACATGAAAGAACCAACGGGGTCCCAGCGCTGGAACCATTTCCGTGCCCATGACGTCGTGCTTGCTGGTCGTAATTGGGTATCTGCTGTCTGCTAACGGCCAAAAATGGATCTTCTTGTAGTCCATATCCTTGTGTCGTTGGGCCAAGGCACTCCGAACATGTTCCAAATAACCTTGCAATCAGCACACGGACAACGACCGGAAATCGGTCAGGATGCTGTCCACCATACAGGCTCCCAACTGCCCACCTACCACAATCTCCTTGCCCTTGTTACTGACTTTTAAGCGTCGGCCAACTCATCCAGCATTGATTGCAACAGCATGTTGCTTTGTTCAAGCAAACTTTCATGCATTTCTGTTGCCCGCACGCATTCCTCATGCTTATATTTGCAGGCGTTTTGGAAAATTTCGATCTGTAGTGGCTGCCTTTGTAGCCATGAACGCGGCATCAACTTGAAAACACCGCATAAATTCGATTTCCGCAATTGGTTGAGGGGCCCAATGCCCTCATGTAGCTGCGTCATGCTCTACAACCCTTCAAATCCAGCGTCCGATGTTGGCTGAGAGAATCAGTATCCTCAGGTAGCTGCGTGAGGCCAATGCATTCTGACAATCTCAGTGTGCGAAGTTGGCTGAGAGACCCAACACTATCAGGCAGTTGTGTCAATCCCCTACAGCCCGTCAAATTCAGCGATTGAAGCTATATGAGAAATCCAACACTCTCAGGTAGACTAGTCATGCTCCTGCAGCCCTCCAAATCCAGCGTCCGAAGTTGGCTCATACACCCAACACTCTTGGGAAGTTGCACTAAGACCTCGCAAACCCACAAGTACAGGGCCTGAATCTCGTTGAGACACCCAATGCGCTAGAAAAGTTGCACCAAGCCCTTGCACTGTAAAAAGTTTAACTTCTAAAGTTGGCTGAAGAAGCCGACATTCTCAGGATTGTGTATCAAGCTATTGCAAAATATCAAGTTCAGCTTCTCAAATTGTCTGAGAGACCCAACACTTTCAGGGAGTGGTGTTAAACTTTCGCAAAAACCCAAAATTGGTGTCCGAAGTGGTGTGAGAGACCCCACACTCTCAAGAATTCCATTCAAGCTCAAGCAATCCTCCAAACTCAGCGGTTGAGGCTGGTTGAGAGACCCAAAACTCTCAGGAAGTTGTGCACATCCCACGCAACCCTGCAAAGTCACAATTTGAAGTTGGCTGAGAGACCCAACTGTTGTATAAACGGGCGGTCATTAGGGGCTAACTGTGTATAGCAAGGTTGGTTAGGCATAAGGGACCTGGGAAGTTGTGCCTTTAGACAAACAATACTTTTGTGTTGCCTTCGTATGTGCTGGAACACAAAAGGCTGGTCACTTTCCCTCCTCGCGGGGTCCGGGGGCGTGCCCCTGGCCGCCCGGAGATTTTGGGAATTAATGAGTTAAATTGGCTTAATGAAAGCCATTATCTTGAGTGGCTCCAGCCGTTGGATGTAAGGCCGCGGACCAGTGGCTCCTGCCCTTCTCTTTCCTCCAACCGTGTAACCGATTGCACTGCACGACTGTGTCCCCGAGCCAGCCAACGTCGGCTGCGCTGTGCCGTGTGTCCGAGTGTCCTGACCTGAGGCGGAGTGCGTGCGCGATCCCGCGTGCGTCGATTCGGGGATCTGCGACCCGGGGCGAGCTGTTGGCCCACCAAGGGCGCGAGAGGCGCCTGACCACCACGCTTCCAACCTGCGCCAACACAACACTCTCAGGCGGTTGCACAAAATCCCTGCAATGTGACAAATTCAGTGCCTGAAGTTAGTTGAGATATCCGACACTCTCAGGAATGCGCTTCAAAGCTTTGCAGCCATTCAAGTCAAAATTTGCCAGTCTTGTCCAGCAAGCTACAGTAGGCGGCAGTAAACTCAAGACTGGACTGCCAATGTGTGCGTCCATTAATTTCACCAGTTTTCCAATGGAATCCGGTAGGGACTTCAATTTGGGGCATCTTCGAAGGGACAGAACCACCAGATGCTTTAGATCTCGAAGCTCCTCAAGGAAAACTCCTACTTCAGTGCATCCATAAATTCTCAAAACTCCCAATGGTGCCCAATACTTTATGCTCGAATCGATTGTCCTGATGTCCGAATTGGACAAATCAAGCAGCCTGAGACATTGTGACAAATGTAGGCTTCAAGGCTACTCTGTGAGACCAGAGTACCATGAAACACAGCTCACAGACGATGGCGCCCTGAAACCCTTCGGCCAAGGATGCAAAGAACTGCTACACGTTGGCATTTATTTGGCGTCCACAACACAGTCCTCCAACAGCTGCCAGTTGGGAGATGGCATCCTCTCACGATGCATCACATCTGCACCTAAAATTGTGATGTGCAAACACATATCTCGCAGCAGGTCATGCAGAAGGCAGGACACGTCACAGAACTGCCCTGATGCAACAAACCCGTCTTGCAAAATGATAGACCGATCCATCAACTCTAGGTATGCAGCGTGGCCTTCAAGGAACATATCATCTGGATCGGAACTATGACAGGTAGCACCCTCGCAAGCAGCCCACTGCTCAACCAGGTCGGACATTATCACGCGGGCATCCTCAGGGTAGCCAACCAGACAAAAGAAAAAGCTCTTCTTAGCATCGTCCAATTCGTGGTAGCTTGTCTAAAGTACGGACAACAAATCACTTTCATATGCCTTGGCCAGTTACTTAGAATGCTGCAGCTTCTTGGCACCAGATCTCCATCGTTCAATTCCACGGTACTCCTTTGCCATGGATCCTGCCACCTGCAAGGCCAGGGGAATTCGTGCACACTTTGCCACCATATCTTTCATGACCGTTGAGTACTCCCTTTTGTTGGCTGTGACTTGGGATTCACCAGAAGCAC